GAAAATTGCCACCTTTTCTTTTTCAGCCCATTTTAGTGGTTAAAATGTAAAATATTTTTACAGAATTATAATAAAAATTCAGTATTAACTATAAAACAATAAGTATTTACTTAATTTTATAATGTAACAATGTAATCTATTATGAGGATTTTTTAATATTATCAGTTTATTACCGTTAGGTATTACTTATCAGTTATTACCGTGCTGCGAGAAATGCGATAACAACAATGAAACAAATCATTTTTGGAACAATAAATACCGTGTTATCTATTGTTTACTCAATTAATTGATAGAACGATATTTGTTTATAATAAATTGTAAGTTAAAGTTGTAATCATGACAGTATACCTACCAATATTGATAAATGTCAATATAAAAATTAAAATACAATTTAATTTTAATCATACTAATAAATTGCAATATTTCGACAGGGCGCAGGCCAATTGAAACTATTCTATAAATGTAAGGGGTACAACAGCACACCCTGACCCCCCCTCAAAATTACTCCACTGTATTATTATAATGTCATGAGTATACCTAACGTATATTTACAAAACAAAAATGTTTTGAGTAAATTTAATATTTTCTAAATTCATGATTGTATAAAAACATGAAACAATAATATTTTAGTTTGAATTTATGGACTCTGTACAACAAACAAGTCACGTTTGTTGAAAAAGTTGAGTCTGATTCATTATTCTAGGCTTTGGCCATAACTCATAACTATTTAATGTATCTAATTTTTCAACTTTCAAGTTCAATTATTATTATTGTTGCTGTTGTTTTCGTGAATATTTCATAGGTATGTGGACGAATAATCAACTACCAATTATTTAACTTGTAACTCAGAATAGATAAATCATTTTTTTTTGAATAAAAAAAAAAAAATTTAAAAAACGTTAATGGTCTATATACCTATACCTTGAACTCTGATCACTACCTACCTAGTTAATGTCATTTTTCTTATTATTTATTGTATATAACTGTAGAGTAATATCAATGAATATTTGTTCTCATCGTGTGAACCCCATGTCAAAAACTCATATTACTATCCAATGTATTCATTGTATTATGTAATATAGGGTATAGACTGTAAATTAAAAAATATTAATAAGAAAAAAAGAGTTTAAATTCAAAATGAAACACTTTCAACTTATGGGGAATAATACACTAACAGCTCTGTGGTTGTAATACATAGATGTAAATGTGTAATAGAAGTACCTATCTATATGTATATCACTAAAGCCGGGTATAAAATTGGGTTGGATAAGCGCATTACATTATGAAAATATTAAAGTTAAACATTAGATAGGTACCAGCAAGATTCAGAATCGGACATCTCCTCGGAACTATTTTACATATTGATTCCACCGTCTATCAATTGGCTGAATATTTCAAAATTATTTATTTTAATAACAACAAAATGTACATTTACATTTATGTTAATGCTGTTTTATGATATAAAATAATACGTTTTATTTCTTTAGTACACACTGTAACTGTAATTATATGATAATAATTTAAATAACAAATAGATAATAATATGTACCCATACTTTTATTTGTACACATATTTTATTATATTTATAATAAATCAATTTAAAAAAATGACGATTTTTCTTTGTAAAAATGATTATCACTAGGTATTTGAGTTTTATTATTTTATAATTTGAAAACAAATTTTACATTGTATTGTATTGTTTTTTTTCTGCCATAATAAATGTATAATTGAGTTATATTGTCAGTTGTGGACGACAATGTTTGAATTGTTTTTATTTAAATAAAAAAAAAAATACATTTAGGTACTACTATGGTTGACTGCGTGTACCTATAGTGTTAATTAAAAAAAAAATTCTGTTTAATATTATGATGCATCGGTTATTGTTTAATAAACAGTTCGGGGGAATCGATAGCCGGCGGAATTGATAATAAAACGGCAGAATCGATAAAACCCTCTCAACGTTCCCCATCGACAGTTTAAAAGTTCATTTGCGCTTCAACATTACATAACAATAGAACTGAATAAAGGTATAAAACTATATCCAAAAGTACAAGTTGTTTTCTAAATTTCTAGTGGTATCTATAATTTACAACTGGCTCCTGGAAGTCAAAAACTAGACTATATTGAAAACCATTGGCTTAAGTATAGGTGAAATAAACAGGTTTCATTTCGTAAAATAAATTGATATAAAAAACATAAAATAATGGGAAATTACAATATAGGTACCAAGTATTGATTTTCATATTAATATTTTTTTTTTACTTTATTATTATAATCAAACTATATTATGTATATTTGTATTTTATAACTATGACTAATGCGCCCGATTGAAATGAACACAATTTATTATAAATTCATTTTTACTTAAACTATATGTATATTTTGTAATTGTTTTTCGGAGTAAGAATATAATTAGGTTTGTACATAGTTAAAAATATTACATTTTTAACTACAAAATAGTTTGAAAATTTTCGATATTTTGATGAGTTATGTTAAAATTTCCACTTAAAATACTTATTTAACAAGAACTTGACGTGCCTGTGTATCTTTATTATTTTTAAACTTAAAAATCTTAAATTATTCATTATCTATATAATACCTATTATAATAATATGTATGTACATTTATATAATTATGACTACAATTCAATTGAATTAATGTAATTTATTTTTTATTGTTTTTATCTATTTATTACAAATGAACAATCATTGGATTTTCAATCAAAAATGATTTCATATACCCTTCTATTGTTTAGCATGTTGATGAGCATATGATGTACGATAATTTGGTGTAGGTAAACAGACAATGCACAAACTATATATGGCCGTATATTTATATATATATATATATATATATATATATATATATAATGATATGGTTGATTAATATAAACCTATAATACGGCGGATCTTAACCGGTGGTCCATGGACCCCCAGGGGGTTCGTAAATGATTACTCGGAGGTCCACAGAGTGACTTTTTTTAAATTACCTAAAAATTGAACAAACTTAGAAACAGAATATAAAAATATATTTTGATTGTAATTTTTACTGTGAAGTGTATTGATAGATATTTATTATTCTCGTTTATTTTCTAGTGGTCATTCATATTTTGGTGGAATTTCCGATAGCAACATAATATGTCACACTGAAACTTGTATGTATCCTAACTTAAATTATTCATCACAATGTATTTTTTTTTTTAAATGTTTAATCTTTTTTTAGGTTCGATATGGGCTAAGCACATCTGCACATATATTATATCATATATAATAACAGTAACAATACTAAATTAACAATTACCTAAGTCTTAGTACCTACCTAATTAGTATTGAAATAATAAAATTAAACATTGTACTGGGGGTTTTTTTTTTGAGGTGGAGGTTGGTCCTGGTTGTACTTTATATTTGAAAAGGGTTTATGACCTAGAAAAACTTAAGAACCTATGCTATAATAGGAATAACCGATATTATATACCTAAAGCCTAAAGGTAATATAATATAATATTAAACTATATAATTTACTGCACTTTTGCACAAAATAGAATCATACCTATAAATTATACATATATAATATATTATGGTACCTACGTCTTTTTCGGGTTCGATATTAGATGTTGGTACCAAATTAATATTATCATCGCAATATATTGATTTTTGTAACATGAAAGAACGAACCAAGGGAATCGTAGAACCCGTTTTGGCGACACAACCAGATACACTTTTCTCGTGGCCCTGATGTATAAGTAACAATTTCGGGACATGTACGGTACTACGGTCATATATAATATTTTCATATAATTGATTATACCATTATAATATCACATAATAAATAATAATTATACAAAAACTTAGCAAGCACCACGATCATCGACTGTCTGCTAGGCTACTCACTCCGAATTCTGGTCGTGAAGCAATGTGGTGCAATTTAGTCTCACGTGGACGTATAATCGTTACCGACTCGAAAAAAATGATTAAAGTATCACGGACGGAGTCTCACTCGAGGACGATCCGACCAATAAACATATTAATATTATATTATATTAATCTATGGACTGCTCGTCTCCCATACCCTGTGACAATTTGCCAAGTGACATTGTTAGAAAGAGATAATATTCTGCACATGTAAGTAACACAATGGGGCCCAATGGCTATATGGTAAATTTTTCTAAAAATTTTGTCATCTTTGTTGTTGAACGCGCCTATCTCACTCCTGCTATTATAATGTGAATATAATATTCATATATGGACTAAGATGTGTGCTATCTTTTTCAAAAAACGTTGCCGCCCTGATCATCTCCTCTCTCTACCAGCGGTCCGTTTCTTCGTAGGTCACCAGCTGCTATGATCCGACCACGTACGCCGGCAGGACTGGATAATATGACTTGGCGGCCCGCATTTCCGGTCCTCGGCCCAAGAGAATCGTGTAGCTCGCACGAGGTCGCGCCGGATCGTCTTCGACGGGCGCATATTTTATGTGCTGCACGTATAATACCACAATAATATTATGCAATTTACCCGTATGACAATATTATTATAATTAGGTATTAGACATTACAATATCATTTACAATACATAATGCAATATTCGCGGCGGCAGATGCTGCGCTCGGCAGATAACGAATAAGACAAACCGGCGATCCCCTTCCACGCCACCTTGAGTTCCCTACCCATAATATTATATTCCGGGCGGTAGGTCATCCGTCGATAAAAATCTGCCACGACCGTTAATTTCCCCGTTCACGTCTGAGCGCGCGGTCCGTGTACAGCTGAGTATTGGTGCTAACGAACTATAATACCGACCCGTGTGATGCCAATATTGTAATAATAATTAATTCGCATGTTTTCCCTCAGTGAGTGTCTCAGTATCCACGGACCGGATATAACGACCGAGGATTTTTTGTTTTGATATTTTAATTTTGTATATAACGAACGGATTGCACATTGACCAATCGCATATCAATATCGAAGATCGTCGACTTACCGCTCCTGCGGTGGCAGTGCCATGCGAACGGACTGGTCATCGACGGCGCTCCGTGTAACATTGTTCGTGACTTTGATTCTTGACAATGCGTGCACGTCGAAAAGAGTGAGTGCTATAATAATAGTTTTGATTTAACTCTCCGTCGAAATGTGAAGAATGAAGTAAGGCCGACAGCGAGGGTTGATAGGTATGTCGGTGAAACTCCAGTTAGAGGTCGAACGCCATCCCTGCAGCAATGATCTAACTGAATAAATTTCAGTTACACATCGAAACTTAAAAATATAAAAAAGCGGTTTTTTTACACCTTTCTTGAAACAACGCAAGCGCAAATGGCAAAAACAATCCCCGATTGACGTGTTATTAGTGTATCTGAGTATTTAATCCATTAAATATAGGCAATAGAATAGATTAGTATAGCGTAGTTAGTACAGTAAAACGTGGAAGTAGTAAAATGGCATAACATAATATAATATAATACAACAAAGCTACCTACTACATTACTGTCAAGGCTAGTATCGAACAATATAAATGACTTGTAGATGTCAAAAATGCATATAACTCAAAATCTGGTTCATTTGGGAATTATATTTTAAGCGCTTAAATAACACCGTTGCTGGCAGGAATTTACAAATATAAGTTATAACCATGTTTTGCACATGTCAGACTAATCTAGAATAATAGCGTGACATTAACAAAAGTTATCGATACACGATTATGGAAGGTATAGAAAATTATGGGAACGATGTTCTCTCTCTCTCTCTCTCTATCTATCTATATTTTTACGTTTCTTTGCTTGAAAAATAAATACAAAACTGTTTAAGTTGCCATGATCGAATTGAACTCCAAAATATACTATGATTTGTATTTTTCTCCTATTACACAATGTGAATATATAGGTTCATAAATTATTATATTTTTATTAATATTATGTTTAAGAATATATTTCATTATTAAAATATATAACTCATTTAACTATACTAGCTGATCCTGTGCACTTCGTTGCCCGTTAAATGTACCAACTCTATATGACTCAAACTTTGTTCAATTCGTTATTTAATATTCGGTGTATGCCGTATGGTGTTCAACATTTATCTTAACTTTTCTGTTGCCTGGAATAAAAATTCTGATTCGCAGCACTATATTATCAGGTAGGCAAACTACCTGCGGTAGATCTCGAACCCAGTGCTGTTTGTACGTAAGTGTATGATTTAACTCTAAAGTATCAAAGTTATACCAACTTTAATTTGATATATTAACCAATGGTAACCAATAATACATAAATACTAATTTCTACTGTAGACTGTAACCAATGGCAACTATTAATAAATAAAAATGAAATTTCCAATTTCCATCGTGAACCTCAATGTCCCTGTTTGAGCACCTATTTAAAATGCGAATTTCAGCAAATCCTTTCTTATTGCACTATGAAAATATCATTACTACGTTGCGTAGTTTTTGAGTTACAGCGATCACTCCGATCAGTGACTAAATGGTATTTGGATTTTATATGCATAGATAAGTATATTAAAAGTATGTATAACTATTATTGGAACATCGACATTACACCACGATATGTCATTCGATTTGTCTATACACACGAAATCTGTGTACCTGTGATATGATATACTATGATATACTTGTGAGAAGGGACTCTCAATTCTTAATTTAAAGAAGTTCAGGCATTGTCGTATGGATCACGTATACATGCAATATGTTTTATAATGTTGTACGTACCTATACTGTATAATATTATATGCCATTTACTATTCGTGAATTAATATTCTCTTACCACATTGTTCCATCGTCGTTCGTCAGCAACACCATTCTCAGCATAGAATAAGCAAAACGTTCTATAAAAATGTACTCTACATTTTTAGGTACGTCAAAAATACATCATCCTGATAATGTAGATTAGAATATAGCTCTATCGGTTGTTTTTTGCGAAAATCTTTATCGAACAGTTATAACTTATAATAATATATTTTAACTATTTGTAGTATGAGTTATTGAACCCAATCTGTATCTACAATATACATATTGTATGAAGTATAATATAATACTATTTTCATTATGTATATAATTTATTCGTCGATAAAACTGAAATTAATAATATACAACAATTATTTTAATCAAATCAAATGGTCACCCGCTACATGATAATATTTAAAACAAATACAAATTAAAAGCTATATAGGTATCAGATGCCAAACACCGTCATTCGCTTTAGTATGGAAAATAGGCAATAGTGTAGTACGTATACATTGAAAAGCTATTTTAAGCGTAGATCAGTTTGTTATAAGTAGGGCAGAGTATTGCAGCCATTAAGTCACCAAATATGCATTTGAATACCCAAAATATGTATTTATATGCAAAATAAAAAATATACCTAAAATATTAATTTTAAAAATAAAACTGAATGCTGGCAATATGACATCACATTGTAAACAATTATCTATCTATTAAAAAAATTAATATACGGAAAATGAATCTAATCATCTTATCTATCTTAGAGCGTTTCTAGGAAAAACGTTCACCCGTGGACAGTTAAAAACCATATTATTGGAAAAAAATTAAAAATATTTATGTTTTGTTAGTATAATACCTACAACTTGTATTATTTAAAATAAAAACGTCAGTGGAGTAAAAATTGATGTAATTATTATTTAAGTTAAAATATACCTCCCAAAGTATAAAATGGAAGAAATATGACCTAAAAACAAAAAAAAACCCAAAATATGCATTTATATGCAAAATAAAATTTCAAAACTAGCTTTGTGAAAGCATGAAAGGTATTTGTTTCGTACTCTGCTATTTTTGTGACTGTGCAAAACAAATATGCAAATGCTACAAGTCCTCTGAGTCTTTACCCCTAGCTTATAAGGTGTTAGAAGGATAATATACTTATATTAAATCTTAAATTATTCTAAAAATAGTTTATATTTTTCCATTTTTAACATAAAAACACGTCGATAATATTATAGGTGGTCGTATATATAAAAAATGCTTAATATTGTATTGAAATGTTTAAATATTATAATATGTTAATAATTAAATTACACAACAATGAAAACTTCATTAAAGAAAAAATAGCATTCTTAGTTTGCAAGAAATATCAAAAATACGGCGTCATTCAATTTCAACTAAAGTTTTTTATTAATAGTGAGATTAACTGGTGAATGGAGAGAATAATATAACATGGTTAACCAAACATTCTGCAAGTTTTAGGTGATATTGCTATAACAATACCAACCGCTAATCTTTATAAAAAATAAATTAAAAAAATAATGAAATAGTTTAAAATAATAATAATAAACAACTAATAAAAATGCTTAAGCTCGAAAATAACATACTCTTTACTAACATAAGTGTCCATGTGGGATTTATCCCTTTATGTGGCTTATATATAGTTATATCGAGTCTAATCTTAGGTGTATCACAATCGTAATGACGATTCATTACTTAATTATCTTCATTTGTTATGTTTGCATGTCCTAATACACGTACATTTTCACTGATCAGTATTCACTCAAATTTGCAGGATTTATTTATTTATTTATTGAATCATCATCAATCACTAAGTATACTAAGGGTCCATATTACAATTTACAATAGTTAAACTAAGGTTAAACCGCGAAATTTGGCCGGTAAAATCAGTGGGTTAGGGGTAACCGAGGTTTAAACTATGATTGTAAAACAGGCCCTAAGGTACACAATATACAATATACAGTAATAGGTCAATAGGATTAATATACATATTGATTAGTATCCTTCTTTAAGATAGAGCTTATAAGATCATCCATACCTAACACAAAATAATGTCTTGATGAGTCACCTTCAATGTCTCTTTATAGATATAACACGGAAGTAGATACACAACCATGGAATTTCAGCTGTAGGTACATAACAAATATAGGTATTATTGAACAGCAGGGAAAATCCATACAATTTAAAAGTGTTATTAAATTATATAAATGATTAAAATATAATAGTGATTTGCAATTTTGTTTATTAAAAGTTGAATCCAAATGTTTCGTAATTAAAATCCAACCATATTATGAAACCTGATTAAAATTATAATATTCATGTTTGAAAGTTAAGTATAAACATTTTAATCTAAAACTATTGAGATTAGAAAATCCCTTTAAAATGTTCGTTGAAATTAAAATATTTGTCGTTCGTCTACTAAACCTAAATACAATATTATGTCAGAAATATTAAGTTTAAGTTATTGTCAACTTATTTACAACGATTATAAAGTTTAATTAATGTGTGTACTATAAATTAATTCAACAATCGTAGCAAAATTTAAAAATCTATTGTACATTATAAAAATTAATTAAGACACAATATATGAAATGTAAATAATACATTGATATGTTTCATAAATATAATATATATTATATATACCATTATATTATTTTGATGAGCGTTTTTTATTATAATAAAGTACCTAATTTAAAAAAAAAACTTTTTTCGTATTGTTAAAGTAATTAGTACCTACCTAATAATTTATTAAAATATTTTTCCGTGATAATATTTATTTTTGAGTTATTTTTTGGACACTAAATTTGAATAATGTATTAAATTAAAAACTATAGAGTAATAATCACAATTTTAAAAAAAATGTATCCCTTAATTATTATATTGATACAACTATACAAGTATACAACTATTATTTTTTCATTATAATCAACTATTAATTATTTTGCATATTATGCCAATCAAACTATTTTAATCACATTTTACAAAATGTATAATAGTTAATAACATTCAAATATTATATTATTATAATTGAATAATTTAGATTTTCAACTAAAATATCTGTTCTGGTAATAAGCGAATCCATAGTTGGTACTTTGGAGAATTAAAGGTAAAAAAAATCCCAACTCTTTTCTTAACGATTGGGGAAACAAAAAAAATAAAAAGAGCAAAACGTGCATTTTTACGGAAAACCATAATTCAAAAATATCGAACAAAAGTTTATTTTTTTGGTGTAACTCAAAAACAAAGAAGGAACATACTTGAGATTGACACTAAACGATTGTACTAGCATTTTTTATATATTATAATGGTATCATTTTTAACATTTTTACCAAAAATATCGATAAAAAAAAATTATGCTCCGTTATATAATATGTTCGGTATATTAAATATACAATATACATAGGCTCTATTCATTTTTTTAATCAATTTTTTATATGCACATGAAGTACAAATGTTTATAAGCTGTATTAAAAACCATGAAAATTTTTTAATGATTGTGTAGTTAAATAATATGCATACAATTTTCAATTTTTACAGCTAAGACTTTAAAATGTAATACAAGGTAATTCTTCAGACTGAAACCAAAAAATCTAAAAAAATTTTATTTTTTTTTGTAATTCAAATAATATATATATTATTTGTGAGGTCTTAAAACTTTTAGTTATATTATTAGATTTTATACCCAAACTGACACTTTCAAAAACATTTGCTTAACAATTTATATTAAATAAGGGTGGTTAACGTGTGATAATAAAAATAGCTTTTGTTACCACAAAATACTTTTTAAATATGGTGTAACAAATCTAAAAGTATCTTTGAGTAGGTATTTAAACTTAAGACTTCCAATAATCTGAACTTGATAAATGCACTAATAACGGATGAAAGAGGAAAGCAATAACCAAAATGAATGTCTTACAATATTTTCTTTCTTAAAATATATGGCCAACTCGACCAAGGCCGTTATTGGAACTAAGCAGTTAAAAATTAAAATTGAACATTACTGTAAACTGAACGGTGTACTTGACATTTACATTTTAAATAAAATATTATAATGAGAAAATAAAAAAATCAACGGCACCGCTTAGCTTTATAATTACTGAGTATTCTTGTCAAATGTCAATGTCAGATTAGCTCGTAAAAATGTGATATTTGCAAAACAATAGTATACACTTGCCCGATGGCTCTGTTAAAGAGTCGGTAACTGTTTTTTTTTTTTTTTAACGTGATATTACTGTCGCTTCAGTACTTGATTGTGTACATTAAACATTCAGTCTGCGGAACGATTATTTTTTTTTTTAGATATGAAATGTTTTAAAAGTTACTTTTCAGTTCGCATATTATATTCAAACCAAAGAAAACAGTGTCATGAAAAATGAAAATTCAAAACCATAAGCCGAGCAACAAAGATTATTTTAATTATTTTTTTTTAACTCTCGGTGGCCTGGTGGCCATATAGGGGCGAACATGGTCATATTAGAATATTTTTGTATACTTTTATAGGAACAATAATAATATAATAATAATAAAAAAACAAGAACATTTTTTTTAAAATTAATTTACAGTTTACAGTTGGGTGATGATTAGAAATTTCATAAAGGTGGACATTAATTGAGGATAGTTTATCAGTATTTCGGTGGGTGAGCCTAGAAGATTTAAATGTATATACATAAATGATAGGTTATTGGCATCTTCTCTAGTGATAACAAGACTGTAAGGGAGCTTTGGATACACGATTGTAAGACAAATGATAATGACTTCAAATTGTCTGTCTATTTCAAATGGGAATGTCCAAATAATATTTTATAATATTATGTTCAATTTCATTGAGTTTAGTAAACTAATACCACCCATCGTTGGTACCACTTTAGTATGTACTTTTTTTTTTTTAATAACTCCGGTGAGGTTTACTTTCGTTAGTAAGGATAGAGGAGATGTAATAGGTACCTCAATTTATTTTATGTTGTATTGTCCAAAGATCAAAAATAGTTCGATTTTGGTGTTGCAATTTTGGACATCGTAAATTATATTTTGAATGTGTATGCTAATATTTGATGGATTGATTGTATTTTTATATTGTTAATTTGCTCAGAAAGAGTCTGTAAAAAATGATTGAGTCTTTGGTATGCTATTCGATTCAGCTGGTAAATATCAAACATGAGTTAGGTAGTTCAGACATAATAGTTCCAGATGAAACAATGAACTGAACTCTTGGAAAATAATACAGTGATAATATAATATAATAAACTTTTAATTTTTTTTTCATGTTCCCTGGTTGATATGTTTTTATACGAGCATCACTGCGGGCGCTTATCGATACGGTTTGTTGGTTAAATGATATATGTATTGTCTAGGAAGTAATTTTGTTTTTCAGTAGCGGATCTCCAACTATTATTTCACTTTGTACTTTCTTTATACACATCCATCGTAGGTCTGTCTGTACAGTATTTACATTTTACACTGCGATGATATTGATAATAATATAGCGATGATAATGTGCTACATTACAACTCCATCCATGACCACCGCAAACCAAAGTAAATCTTCACGATAAACAATTTAACTCGTAATTATTTATCATCAAAAAGAAAAATGCACTGTGTTGAATGCGAACTTCGTCGTTTTCCAATCGGTTGGGATGCACAATTATTAATATGTATGTTTAATATACTGCAATCCAAAACTACACACAAACAAACTATAATCGTATTTCAAAGTTTTGGCGAATACTTATTGAGAATAAATCGGTTTATATCGGTGTTAACGAACTAATTAATTCAGATAACTAACTCATGTATTTACGGTGGTAGTATTTAGACATTTTATGGCAACATATTTTAACCCCTCCCCCTCCCCAATAAAAAAGAAGTTATTTTTAAAATGTAAGATATATAGGTAGGTACTTAGCTATTTTGGTGTAGACGATGTTAGACCACAGAAAATTCAACCAACTATCTATGCTGCCGTCATAAGTCATTAATAGATAAATTATATATACCTACCTAATTTATTCAAATATATATTATAAAACATGTGCGTGTGTGTTTCAAGCTAGGTCTTGAGTGTTTTTCTTACACAATTATTTGTAAATATAACAAAAATGAGTATCTAATTATTTGATATTAATAATATATTAGATATTGAATATATATTTATATATTTAATATGTATTATGTATGACTGTATGAGTGTTATCGAGCATTAATTAAAAGCTGTCTATGACTCCGTGTTTTGTACTAAATGTGTAAATATTATGTTCATGATAAAATAGCAGCATTAGTACAATATAACATCAATAATATGGACTACTGTTTTGATCATAAAAATGTAACAAAATATACGAGGAAATTCTGGAGCGGCAAACGTTGCAAACGTTTGATAACGCCGATAACGGCGAAATTCGGAACGTCCGTTTGCTAAACGAAGGTGTAAACGTTTGCAAACATTGTAAACGCCCTAATCCAGCGTTTGGTCTGTTTAGTTCTCTATAGTAACCCGAACCGTGGTTGACTTTGTTTGTACTTTTGCCGATCGTTATCACTATTACTATCACGACTTATCACGATTTACTTTTTATGTCATACACCACGACCGTGGTTTAACAAAATACCAAGCGCTCACGAATTTCTATCTCTTCAACGTTTCAAACGTCGGCGTTTGTTCTGCAAAACGTTTGCCGCTCCAGAATTTCCTCTATGATATAACTTACTTACCCGCCTATATATTTATTGTTTATATTTCATCTATTAGTTATTACTTATCACTCAACTCCCTCTAATGTTACAAGAACAAAAGGTAGTTCTTATAAAAAAAAATTGTATATAATATTACAATAATATTATAGGTGTATAGGTACAGTGTTGATATTTTGAATTACTTAATTTTGTTCACAGCAAAAGCGTCAGCTGTTCCGTGAGAATGTGTTGCCATACTTCGGTGGTAAAATACCAGATTCTGCTTTTCATGCGGACCGCTTGGCACTAAATATGCTGAACAAAGAAGGAATATCTGTACCCGATGGTGTTCTGTTCGAATCCAGACCCAAAGAGTCGTTCCACCAAAGTCAACGGAACGATCCAGAACTACTCAACTCGGTAGTCAAAATGATCCATACGCCGGACGGCAGGTGAGCGATGGCGCATAACCGAATTGATAGTAATAATCTGATAATAAATAATCTTCTCTACGGTATAAGACGTACCATAGACCTTATACTCGGTATAAGGACTATGGTTAGTACACAAACACTGTTTTTGTCGTACCAATAACTTTGTCTATATACATAATATTAAAGTAGGCGACAGATACGTCAGTGGAAATGTATTGTAGAGTAGAATGACACAAAAAAAAAATTACACATAATAAAAATATTATGTTACCTGCCACGTAAAGGCAAGTAAAATACGAAAAAAGGAATACCGCTGCAGTGGCGCCATCTGTCCATTAAAATCTAATAAAAAAGTTTTAAAAAGTTTTCCTGGTCCAAGTCTTGTAGTACGAAGTATAAAAAGCAGTAACCTAACCAGTTTATATAATAAAACAAAACAATGGAGTTTCCCATATAAAATGTTCATGCTGCCAATAAAAGGAGAAGCACCCCAGACAGATTTTTGTAACAATAATATTCTAATAACTTAATACTAATATTATTCGTGATTATAGTGTTATAATAATATTATTAAACAAAAAATTGCTGTCTGTGACAGAAACCGTTATACCGAAGTGTGTGTGCTCTAAGAAATGGACAGTACTAGTAATTATAATTCATTATAAATGTTAATACACAGGAAGCAAAATGATAAATAACTTTTGTTCTGATCAATATTTAGAATTTTTTTTTAAATTTCAATATTTTTTTGAGTAAATTCATTTAGAACGTAATAACTTTTTTCAAAATATTATTTTTTTGGGAATTTCCTGGCATTAGTATTTCTTAAATTATTTCTTAAACATCATATAATTTTCAAAATTTTTGTCATACATTTAAGTGGCATCATTTTTTTTTCAGGTCTTCCTGTTACACCCTTTATATCAATATAGAATTATTATATAATTATATACATCGTATAATATACAATTTTAATTTTACAGCTGTTAAGTGTTCTGCTCACGCGATATAATAAATAATAGGACAAAATACTAAATACTTCTACATAAATTAATTGTTTTTGCCACACGCATACATAATATAGTTTAATTTAATACAAATAAATAATAATATTTACCTGACTAATGACTACCTATTAATTGTTTGAATTTATTTCGTTTTAATAATACTCAGGAAAGATACAATATTTTAAAATTGCGAAATTCGTTGATCTATTACAATTGTTGCAAATTATAATGTATAATAAATATCCCACGTTTGATATTTTATTGTTAGTACATAGATACTAAAATTATAAATTTGTTTATTCATTTACAACATGCCATAATAATGTGTACCTTTTTAATAAATATTTTAAAATTAGGTTTATACCTTCAGAAGGCCGGTACGACGCTGAAAACGAAGTAGAGTCCACGTACAGAATATTAATACCCTCAAATATACAGAATTATCATCTACCAAGGTTTAGGCCGGTACCAGAATCGCTACAGCTGTCTGTTCAGCATGTATTTGAGAGCGACCGGTTGTCAATAGCACCCATTATGGGAAATATAGGTGTACCATTATACCCTATATTACAGGTAAATTATATAATTATTGTAATTAATTTAATCTAAATCCCTATAAAATTAATAAATCGATACCTACTAATTGATTCCCATACCTTAACGGGAAAAATATATAATATAATAATATACTAATTGAGTATGTACTTGAGAGAAAATTAAAATATAAATAATTTCAGTCCAGTTATTGAAAATACTACTTGGGGACAAAATTATTTCCCTATACATGATAGTAATTGTGTCGTTTACTCGTTAAAATAACCACTGACAATGTCCCCACAGGCCACAGCACGACACTATTCAACTCAATGTCTCAATTACTAACTAAACTACAAGTTATATTAAAATGAAATATTTCTTACCTGGTACTTTAAAAAATATGTTGATATGTTGTCGTTCTGACTATCGGATGAAAAATAAATGCTATTCAAAACAACTATTGTCTCATTTTTAATTTAAAGTATATAACATAATATCACATTTGTAATAAAAATAAAAACAAACAATGGGTTTGGAGTACACAATACAATATTACTTATTTAATAGGAACAAAAATAGAATAAGGCGATAACAAAAATTAAATGTGAATTTTCATTAATTTTTGGCATAAACATTGTGTATTATCCAGTGTTCAGAATAACTTCATCATAATATTATTATAAGATGCATTTTTGTCTGTTTTCATATTTTATTCTTGAAAATAATGTATTGCTAAATTATATAATACGGCCGACAGATCGCTGACCAGCTGACTGGGCAGTCCGCCCCTGAATGAATGTTTTTTACTATCTGGTAAAATGTCTCTACCTAGTGGGTATTTTAGTAATAAGCACGTCTTATGGCATTTTTTTAGTGAGGATATTTATCCCTTAAAATTTCTAGGGAGTAAAATTCACAATAATGAATAGTATAGTGTAAACACAACTTTCTGTACCTATAAAATGCGCATTGGTGTTTGTGAATAATATTAAGTTATCTATTGTATGCTCTTAACACAATAAGTATGTGACGGTGCCCCTCTGTCATGTTAGACGTTACTATGTTAGTATTTATTACCACCCACAAATGACAGTGGAAGAATAATTATGAACCATTTATAAGTTCATGGGAAAATATAATACAAAACAAAGTTTCTTTTCAAAAGGAAAATCTCGAAAACAAAATACTAAGAAATACTTGTACAGTAGGTATTGAATATTAGGTACCTATATAATAGTAGCTATTACATAAAAAGTTGTACAACTATACTTATTTTGGAATTTCGCAAAAAAACTCTTCGTTTATACATTCAAGTCAGTTATAGGTATTTATAGATGCATGTGACATAACATTATTTATTACAAAATTTGTTATACTTTTGTACCTACTTATAACAATTTATAACTAAAAAAAAACAACCCCAGTATTAATCATTTATCAAATGTGACAATGATCTCTAGTCCTACTCCGTATAGTAAAAGATTTGTTCACTATAATCTCTTAAACCTCAAATTAACGATCTTTCTTAATATTTGGATATCTGCCTTTAAAGTCTAAAATATAGATTTTGCGATGTGGCTATTTCGGTGAGGTCACTAGGCAGAGGTTTTTATATAAAATCAATTCAATCTTAAAACCAAGTAATAAGAGAAAATGAGTAGCAAATAGCAAAGGTGATAATGAATCTAATAAAATATAATATTTTATATATAGGTAACGTCGGAAAAAAATATCAATCAAACAAACAAATAATACTAAACCCAATACATTATAGAACAATCGTCACATTTTTGAGACACCTTTACATGCAATATACCCCTATTTACAATATTACATTATGTTTACAATAATATTTATATATTTTTTGAGAATCTTGGTCACCGAATATTATTTCCAAGTTCTGTCGGTTACAAAAAAATCCTAACCAGATCTATAATAATATAAAAATGTTATCAGCTACCTGAGTTATAATGACTCAATGTAGGTAGGTAAGTATAGAGAACAACAAAACAGGTCCGTACAAACATTTTTTTTTTATATATACCACCAATATACCAAATATATGTAAGTAACTCAACTTATATAGGTATAAATGTTTCTATAATCAGGTGAGTCTTTATTTGACCCATACCTCGTTTAATACTATTGTACATTTGTACGTATCAATTATATCATATTATCTACATAACATAATTAATAAATCAAATTGGAGCTATACCTTAGAATAGAAACAATACATTCGTGTACGGTTTCTCAAGTGTACGCACATACCGCGAAGTTATATACGTATTGTATTACATTATTATTATGAATAACTAGCCGACACTTTACTTTGGCTGCTCGCTAAATGCTAAGATAAATGTAAAATGGCAAAATGTATAAATTATTATTGTAATCATGTTCAGTCATTCAGATTTATATAATATAAATTATAGTAGGTATATGTACGCAATATATAATATAATTTATGTATATTCGCATAACAATTATATATGTAGTGTACGTGCTTAACACAATTGTTTCGAAATGACTGAATGTTATAATATACAGGAATACAGGATATTATTGTTTCAATAAGAAAACTCTAATCTCTTACCGCAGTATATAACTAATGCTTTTATGTATATATTTTATTTTGTCATGTGCCTACTACCCAATATGTACGGTAACTCGTAAAAAATGTACGGAAACAAATACTCATAGGTACATTTAAATTGAATACCTCTGGCACATTTTTTTCCCCATAAGAGGAGAAATTAAATTACCTTTTGCAGTTGTTTTCTAAATTCTGGTTAAAATACTAGGAAACTATATCTTACAATACTGAAAAAGCGTTCTGTATACGGTCAAAGATTGAAACATAACATTAAAAGCAATTTTTTATTTACTTCCGTATCTAATTGACAATGTATATTGTGTCTTTAGAGTTGGTGTAATATATTTTATACGCACGCATGGGCACTCTTATAAAATTAAAACAGGGACACTATTAAGTGGTTTTTGTTGTTTTTTAACTGTCATATTTTTACTTGATTTCTATAAATAACTAATAAGCACGTTTTGAGTACCTAATTATTGAGCTCTTATTAATTGCTATTATTGTGCCGTAATATTTAGGCATAGGATCGTCAAATTTGTGTGATACTAACTGTCTATTTTTTCATATCAACTATTAAGTTTAACAATGAATAGGTATAAAATAAATGAAAGACAAATACAATAACCGTTATTTATCGATTCCATCAAAACATGCTGTTTTAAAACAAGCTATAATAGGTACCTACATTTCTCCACCTGCTACTGTACATACTATACCTATCTATTAATTCCGCCGAGTCTTAAATTTATAAAAATGGTGTAAGCTACTATACGATATTATTCATAACTATTGTTTTATAGCATTTTTGAGGAAATAAAACACCTTAAATATACACAATATGTATATACATATATTATAATATATAAATGAATACTAATAAGTAATAATAAGTATTAAAATATTATATTGAACGAAAACTGGATTAATGGGTAATATGGTGTAAGTGTATGTGTAATACCTACTGATTTATATTAATATGATTTTATTCTTCTTTAAATTAATAATCCCAAGTACCTATCTAATTTCCCTAAAATTGTTTATGAATATATAATTAATAAATATTAGTAAATGTTTGTAATAATTTAAAAAATAAACTCATTAGTCATTAGTATTGCCATTGATTAATTTAAGTTAGAAATGCACAAAAAATAGTACTTATATATTATAGATACCTATAGGCTATAATGTAGGTACCTAATAATAATTTGTTATTGAAGACTGAAGTTAAAATAATAAATTTGTACTTATAAATAAAAAATATAGACCTAGTAAATACATTTCTAATGAAAAAATGTATTTCTACTCAGACTGTATATTACTATATTATATCCAATAAAATGTGGTACTTAGTTAAAACTAATATGTACAATTTATTTACCCACTTTTTATTTTAGAATTGGAATTTACGTGATGCCCACCGGCCCTACGTTGACCAATTCAATCACAATGTCAATCAAATTATAAATGTCCAATCGAACGTTAAAAACGTACATTTGACGAGTTTTGTGTGTGATAGATCAGGAAAAATGTATCCAGATCCAGAAACTCAATGTCAGGTAACAAATTTTAATTTATATAAACATAGTATAAATGTATCACCATGAAAATAACTAAAATGTGTAGGTGTATCACCTCTAAACATCATTATTTTGTGTGGTTTCTTTCGGAACATTTAAAATGGCCCGGAAAACCCGTGTAAAAAACAATTTTGTAAGATGTTTTGAGACAATCGTCCTACTCTTGCTCATTGCTTTTAAACATATGAAACGTGTGAAAAAATGTAAATCAATATTATCTTACCCATCTAAATTGAGGTACAATGAACCGTGGATTTTCCAAAATAAATAGGTACATACTACATTTTATCAACAATCTTGAGTTGGTTTGCGAGTTTCTTGAAACTAAAAAAAAAATACGAATGGGAAATAAACTACGAAGAATGACTTCGGAGGTGAACATAATTTTAACAAAACTCTTTCTCTTACAGTATATTAATTCATATAATTATTCCGAAATATACCTACAGACAAATTAACAGTGAACATATTACAGTTTACTTAATACTTACAATATGTTTCAAAGCATTGATATTATTTTATTTTTTATTATGAATAAAAATGTATTTGAAATAAAGGTCGTCTATAAATGTTTCGTATTTGTATGATAAAGTCATATTATAGTTAACCTTAGTAGAATTCAGTTCAAATTGTAAATGTTTGCACGAAGGATTTTATATCAATAATGGTCAAAAAAAATATAATATTGTGATAAAAAATTCATTAATAAAACAAAAACCACGTGTATTCACTTGAATACTTAATAAAGTAATATCCTAACCTTCTGTACCATATAAATTCACTGTGGTCAAGAAAGATTCCGCACGTACGAATAACTACCGTACGCATGTGACTTTAAAATAAGTTAAATAAATTGAATTAACAATAATAATATCGTGTAGGTAGTGGTGGACGGTCTGTAAATCACGATGTTTCTTTAGATTTCAAACTCTATATATATATGTATGTATACTATATATACATATATATGCTAATGAATATTTCTTTGTTTGTCCTCTATATACTCAAGAACTACTAGACCATTTTCAAAACAAGTTATACCTATAGATTTTTTGAGATTCGAAGAGTGTTTATAGCTTATTTTTTCAATTCCTATAAGTGTTACAGGACGGATCACACAACCACACAACCATTTAGTTTTGTACCATTTTTGTTTATTTCAATGATTTCCATTGGTTACAGTCTGTTACACATGATAATATTACTACCTATTATTATACTAATAGAAAATGACATTTACAAATGTTTAAAAATATATGATTTTTTTAAAAAAAAAATCTTAAGATCAAACACAAACAAAACAATTGAAATGACTACTTTTATAAATTGCTTTCTTAACTCTGGACATAATATTTGATATATTAAAAGCCCGCATGCGCTCTCTCTGTCTTAAAAACGCATAACATAGCAAATTGTACCCTCGGCAGATCACGTTTACCTCTGTTAGTTTAAAAATTAGAGTGAATTCTCTTATACAATTTAGATTTAAGAATGTTATCTAGTGAACCTCGTAGATTTTTATTAGATTTAAGTTGTATAGCAAGTATTATGAGTAGGTATTTTAAACTGCAATTAACAATTTTAAAATACTCATAACTATTGCTTTAAAATTAAAAATAAAACCTTTGAAGTTCACTATAGATAATATTCTTACTTCTAAATTGTATAAGAGGTCAATTCACTCTAATTTTTAAACTAACAGTGCTAAACGTGATCTGCCGAGCGTACATTTTTCTATACCATGCGTTTGTTAGACAGATATAACATATGCGAGTATGTAACTTGCCCTTTTAACACATAAATACCAATACGAATCTTAACTATATTGGATTTACACCTGCTTTTAAGCATTAATTAAAACTATCTCTAGTTGTCTGTTGTTTGGGTTCACATCAAAAATAATTCCAGAATTAAAAAGTGTAAAATCAATAAAAACCAGGCGCGTAGCTAGAAATTTCAAAGGGGGGGTGTTATTCAAACTTAAGAGGACGCTAAGACGCGTGTGTTATCTCTGTCTTACACACGCACGACATAATAAATTGTCGTTCACTATTTTCAATAGTGAGCTGTTAGTTTTGATACTAGAGTGAATCGACATATTATCAAACTTTTAGGTAAGAACATTATCTGGGTCTTAGCTTGGGCGATTTTTCGATACTTTCACTTTTGAGAAAAATAAGTGTATGGAAATATTAAAAATGCTCATATCTCGCTTGAAAATTATTTATTATACAAACGTATTACAACTTACCCGTGAATAGATAATAGTTTAGAATAATAGTTCTCTTATATAATATTATTATCAATAAAAAAAAAATGAATACATTTTTAAATTAACTTAATGTGTCGACTTTTTGAGGCTAGTGTATCTATTATTTCGTCTGTGGTTACGACTAAATCTCGATGAATATTTATAACAGCTAAGCCATTCGAGCGATTTTCACCAGTTGTATTTCTTAGATATGTTTTCAAGCGTCTTAATGAGGAAAAAGACGTTTCACTGCTTGCAGTTGTTACAGGTATAGTAATCAATACTTGTAAAAGTCGATAAACAGTAGGAAATATGTCTTCGTTGCTGTCAAAGAAGGCTTCGGTAACATTTTTAGGATTTTTAGGATTTTTATTTTTTACATGTTCATACCATATTGCAAACTCACCAATTGCAGATATTTCATCAGCTTCAATATCTGAAGAATATGTCTTAAGAAGTTCTTTAAATTCGGTATCATTTTTTCATTTGCATTTATTAAACAAGTAAATTGTTTTAATAGTGATTTATGGTTCAAAAATCTGTCATTTAGTTGCTCACAGAAATGATCCAAAAAAGGTACAAAAATCAAAATCCTAAAATAGACTTCCGGTGATTCTGTTGAAATTCTAAAACGATTTGTTCGGTTTATAGCTAGTCGAGGTATTGAAATTGTAATCCCCAATGATAGTTGATACCATGGAGTAACACTCTAATGATGAAGTTGTAAACAAGTTGTAAATACTCTGCATTAAAAGATATCTTGTATCGTACATGAAACGAGTCAACGATAAACTGACACAGAATGGTCTAAAATAATAATTATCTAATTCCGTGTGCCCGTGTCCAGGTTTAAATTATAAAACATAGTACACCACGGTTGAGGGGGGTGTTACTACACCTGTAACACCCCCCCTGGCTACGCGCCTGATAAAAACAGTATATAGGTACGCGTTTAGATGCAGCCGTAATATCACTGTATGTTTAAATCTTATATTTTACTTTACATATTATACGATGTTGTAATAATTCGTTAGAAAGCGTTTCGTGTATTTCCACCCACATGTCACGACTCGTCTTACATAATATAATACTATATTCAGAGAACACAGAAGGGATTTTTAATCTTTCCTGAAATTTCGTGGAGGGTTACAGTCAGCCGTCTCAGCCGCCCAACACCAAAGACTACGTCACAGTAGTATTATTGATGTAGGCTTTCTCGCTAAAAAAATCGAGCACTGAATCCACTATTATCAAAAATACAACAGTAATATTACTAATTCTGCACTTTTTCGATCACATTATTTTTAATGTTCCTCTTTTTTTTATAATTTGTTATATTATACTCTATTATATTATTTATAGTAAATAATATAATGATTTATTAACATAATAACATCTGTGATGCTTTTTTAAAGTAAAATTTTACTTTAATTAAATTTTTGAAATACCGACACTGTACAATGTACATATCTAAGCATCTTAACATCAGTATAATATAATATATTTAATGGTTTATATTATACTATCATTTTTTATTTTTTTAACTTTCAAATTTGAATATTCATTACCATAGCATCCCGAGTGCAATGGCTTAAGGCAGTGAAAAAATAGCAATTGGATTATATTTTATTTACATTGGCTTATAGTTTTTTACTTTGAATACAAACCGACAAATTATAAACGTTCCTATAAATATAATTTTAAAATGCACTTCTGTAATTTTTTTCCCACTACCGTATGTCTTTATGCAAATATAATTTTCGTTATAGGTATATATTTCATACTATGACATTCTATATTTTTGACAAACACAAGTTTATTTCTGTTTCGTAATTTACATAATATTATTTTGTATGACGAAAAAATACCGAAATTACAAAAAAACAAATAAAAAATATAGTTGATGGCTATTTTTTTTGTTATGGATTTTTCTGTGCCCATAACTATTATAATTTTAAACTTTTAAACTTTTTTTGTAGGATAAAATGTATTTCTATAAAATTTTAAGACATTGGAATAACACACTAGATAATAAATTGTATCAATAACTTCGTTGAGATTATGAGAAATAATTTCATAGTTTACAGGTATTTTATTATTTACATTATCATATTTGTTTACTATTACCATGTCACCATTCAACAATCGTTACTATATTTCTACTTCTGATCTTTCTATTAAAATTAAGCCAACTTCTTGTTTTGTGTGTATTACGAGTGTCGAGTGTACATAATACGCTGTATAAAAGTAAAAACTATATGCACCTAATCATAAATTAAATTTTTAAAATTCCCAAAAAGGGTTTATACAAAGCCAGCTCCCTTCACTCCACAAGTTCACGAGTGGTGACTAATGAAAATTTTTAGAGGAAAATATTAAAAACTATATCTATGGAGTTTGCACATTTACATTTTACAGTAAACATTTTTTTTTTTGGATGGGTTATCATAAAAATTATTGACGTATCATGCTATTATAATCGCAGTGTTCCATTAAAATGTGTTGGAGCCTTTCAATATTCGACCTACGTCACCATTAATAAAGTAGGTACAATTCATGATTTTACTGATTTTATTCGAAAATTGAATTGAAAATAACCCTGACTGGATGTATTTTGTTAAGTTAAACCTACGGACTATAATATTCTTGTTTTGGAACAAAGCCAATATCATGAAAATAAATATGATAAAGAGTCTATATGAGACTTGATTTTAAGTTGTACAATATGCGTATCCAAAATATTTTTGGCTATAGTCCGAATAAATGTAATGTTTAAATTTTAAAACGTATTTCCTTCACATTTCAAAAAGTATTTTGATTTATAAATACAAAGCCACTGAAGATCTACGAGTTTCCACATCAACTTTATAGTTTTTGAAAAATAAAAATCTTTCAGACCAAATTCATAATATTATGAGTCTTGAAAAATGTTTCATGATTCTAGTATTCTCGTAGTCTTAATTAATTTATACGTTTATAGTATTCTTGTATATTTAATTTAATTGAGAGAAATTAAATGGGGATTAACAACACGTCATAAAATAAGCAGGACTATCTTTAGACTTTTCCACCCCTGCAGGGCATCATTGCTATTATTTAAAAGTTTGGTGCCCATTGGCCATTTGTCATGAAATGCACAACAATAAATTTAAAAAATGTAAAATAATATTATGCCTAAAACCATCAATATTTTATTTTAAATGTAGACTAATGACACGACTGTTGCCTATATTCCTAAATAAAAATACCTATTAGATGCAATTTAGTTGAATAATAAAAAATGTCTGTCTTTTCAAAAATGTCCACTGGGTCATTAGGAACATGGTGGTACCGTTTACACCCCTAAATTCGGCCCAGAATACAAGATTAATTATTTATTTTAGTTTTTTGTTGTTTATCTAATATCTAATGAAGTATAAAAAAAAACTATAAATATAAGATAATGTAAGAATGTTAATCCAATGATCAGTGTGGTCCACGAGTTAAGTAAAATACAAAAAGTATAAATGTATTAGCTGTTTCATTTTGTAATTTTGTAACTTTTTAAGTTATAAAATATGTTATAACCTAAATATTAATTAATTGAAATTAAATTAAATTAAATAATAATATTAGTAGTGAAAATGTTTTAACGATTACTAACGAGAGTAATTTCTTCCAATAATTTGAATTTATTTTTTATAAATATAAATATTAGTTATACGCCGCCACTTATACATTTATAATTAATTTTAGTTAACTTAAATGTAATTTTTTATACATACCAATTTCAACTGAAAGTACAAATGTTGATAAATTTGAATACTAGAGAATATAATATTTTAATCAAAAGATTATGTTGGAATATATTTTTAGTATTAGTAAAGAATATTCAATATATCAACGCTCATTAGTTCTGGGCATTTTTTTTTAAAATAAATACTCAGCTATTTATTCTTACAATATATCATATTATTATCATCTAAAAATAAATGATACATTAATTCTTTGGAATATTGTTATTCTATAACTTACTTTGTACGCAAATCAATTATCATTAATAAAATAATTTTAAAAACAATAATGATTATCTGATTAGCATCAAAATAAAATATGATACAAGCAAAATTTACGACGCAATTAAAGAGTTTTACTATTTAACCCCAAAACCGTTAATTATTTGATGTCTTAAGCTTAAAAGTAATAAAGAAAGCAAGTGCAAGGCTGAGTGTAAAAAAATGTTACCTCATTTCTTAACTTAATAAATTACATAAAACAAATAAAAATACACATATAGGTACTTGTATTATATTTAAATAATAAATATATATATATGTTATTAAGATAAGTAAAATTACTTGTCATTTGTCACATAGCAAGCTTCTATCATACAGACTATTCATATTTTAGTGTACGAATGTACCTTATGAATGTACCTTATGAACATTTTATATATTGTATATTTAATGTTACAATTAATGTAACAATATAACACATACAATTTTATTCTGTTTGCATTTTTGCAAGTGTTTTGTGATTTATAATTTTTTTCAAATTCTGTCCAAATTTATTTTACAATAATATAAAGTTATTTTATTTTTCCCAATAAACATTTTTCAAGTTATCAAAATGTATTGATATATATTAAATTATCCTAAGATATATAAATAATGTATATACCAATAAAGTCCTATATTCAACCGTATTTTGAAAACTCATAATGTCTATTCATACAGCCATATACAGCACTTAATATAATTTATATTTGCAGGTTTTTCACTTATGCCATTACAATGGATTCAGAGAGACATTCGTTTGTCCACAAGGAACCCGATATAATCCAACATTACAGGAATGTAGACTTTGGTACTTGACTCCCTGTCTGGATATGCGCAGGCCTTATTAAGATTTATTATTAAGTCAATTGTCAATATGAGAATAATTTATTAAAATTGTTTTCATCTTAAACTGTCATAGAAGTCTGCGAATAATATTCTTGAATGCATCTATTGTATCACAAAATATTATTTTACAAGTACAATTTATTAATTGAATACTTATTGTTTGATCCAAAAAAAAAATAGATCTAATTAAGTGTCAGAAGTCACAAAGTGTCTAACAAATAGTAATACAATTTGCGATCAGTTATTTGTGTGGTATTCATTACAAATTATATTAATATTATGATATAATTTTTACTGATATACAAAAGTACTTTTTGTTTATACTAGTTTTAGCTTATGAAAAACAAAATATTTATTTATAAACTGTGTAAATGTGTTACATAAATGAATCAAAATAAAATTATATAATAAAAAATTTAATTATTGATTTCCTAGTACCTACTCAAAGTCCACAGGTTTTCTCAATATGTCTATCAAAATATTATACACCTAAAAGAAAAATAGTCCACATATTTTATCTATACACATTATACACTTATAAATATTAAATTGGGTACCTAAATCAAATCGACAATTAGTATGAAATATTCTTTCAATATTACTAACATTTATAATAGAGTATTCCTCAATAATATAAAAAATTGTTCTCATATAATATAAGAAAATTACATAAAAAAAAAATAAAATAAAAAGTGGGTAAGTGGATGTCGCTTTGCTGTACAGTAGGTTGCTGTTACAGGTGAGTCACTGTATAATGGATTGTATTAAACTTGAATTCAATGATATAATATCATTGTATAAGAAAAAACGATTCTGAGCGGAGACGGTTTGTCAGTCTGTATATTTTATATTGTTATTATTTATTATGTAAGTTGAATTAATATTATGATATTCATATTTTTTATTCCTTTCTATGGTAATAAACAAAGCGCTAAAAATTAAAATCCCATTTTTAGCGGTTTTTTTGTAATTTTTTGGTGGTTTTTTTTCGTGGCATTAAATAATTGTTGATAAAATCGAAAAATGACCTCTCTAAAGTACCATTTTGATCCAATGTGCTAAAAGATAATTTACTACATGTGGAAATCAAAGCACTCCTTCTGGAAGACATTTTGTATACAATATATAAAAAAAAAAAAATAAACACCATTGTAAAACCACTAGCTCCTTCGCTCCGCTCAGAATCTAAAATATTATAATTAGTGATAAAGTATTGCTTGATGTGTATTAAATTATTAGTATTCAAATAGTTAACTAGTTAAAGATATATGCGTTAATTTTAGATTCAGAAAAGTAGGTTTCATTTTATTTTTTATATATAAAAAATAAATCATTAACCGTACTAGGTACTACGAACAACAGATATAAACCATGGGTATGCTAGTTTAAATTTGTGTCAACTCATTAATTTAATATAATATGTACTGACATGCACATAGATAATAATATATAAGTATCTAGTATCGTGAATAGTTTTGTATAATATAATATATTCAATGGTCATGCTTTAAAAAATATTATAATAATCCCTGATTAGAGTAACTACCAAAATCATAATATGTACCCAGTGGCGTAACCACCCCACTGATGACCTTGCTAAGACATCAAAACAAAAAATGAGTACCTATACATTTATAGCTTTAAAATAAATAAATATTTACATAATTAAACTTTTATAAAATAGTAATTGTATTACTAATGTATGATTATAATAAAAACACATAAAATTCAAAAAAATTTATTTTGTTAATTTATTAAACCTCCCCTCCCAAAAAAAATCTGGATACGCCACTGCATGTACCTATGTTATATTTTTTAAATTTACCAGCCATTGAATTTAAGAACGAATAATTTATGTTAATTCGTTATATGACTAATTACGTTAACCTTTAATGATTTTTTTTGTCCAGAAAATTGAAATTTATATATTACTAGCTGCTCTCGTGCACTTCGTTGCCCATTAAAAACACCAACGCTATATGAAAAACATGGTTTTTAGATTCTGAGCGGAGCGATGAATGTATTGGTTTTACAATGATGTATGTTTTTTTTTATTTATATTTTTATTTATATATATTTTTGTGTCTGTCATCACGTTTTAGGACAGTAAAAGTGCTTCGATTTTCTTCAATAGTACCTTTTCTGATAGGAAAGTGAATCTAGTTGGTACTTTGGGGGGTCAAAAGTAAACATTTCCCAGTAGTTTTCACAAGCGCCGGGAAAAACAACATAAAAATTAAGGAAAAACGGGAATTTTTACGCAAAATCGATTTTCCAAAAAATCGAATTTGGTTTTTGGTGTAACTCTAAAACAAATGAACGTATATACATGAAATTTTCACTGGTTGTTTATATTTGCATTTTCTATACACGATAACATTTTCAAAATATTTTGATTTATTTTGAACTGTTTAGGGACATTTTCATTTTCCATTTTTTTTTAGTTTTTTTTCTAAAAATATCAATAAAATTTTATTTGTTGGTTGCGAAAGCTTGAAAATTTAATAGAAGGCTCCTAATATGTTGTTTCAAAGGCAGATGAAAAATATTAAAAATCCTTAGTCACAATTTTTTTTTATAAGCATTTAAAGTTCAAAAATTGACAAAATATGGAAAAATCACGAAAATTAGCAAATTATTTTGAGTTAAGAATTCGTAAAAATTTTTCTTTTTAAATCTAAGATTTGAAAATGAAACACAAGATTCCTTATAAGATTATCTACCTTTATCAATAAAAAAATCTCTACCGGACAGTCAAATTAAATTTTTATGAGCGTTTGAAATTCAAATTTTTACAACATTGGATTTTCACTCGATTTCTCATGTAGCGATTTCCTTATTTTGTTGTAATTCAAAAACGAATAACTGTAGATACATGAAAATTTCACTGAATGTTTATATTAGCATTTCCTATACACCATACAATTTTGAAAATATTTTGACTCTTTTTGAGCTGTTTACGGACATTTTCAGTTTTCAATTTTTTTAGTTTTTTTTTTATAATTGTCAATAAAATTTTATTTGGTGGGCCAAAAAGTCTGAAAATTTAATACAAGCTTTCTTATATATTGTTACAATATCAGTTGAAAAATTTTAAAAATACATAGGCACAGTTTTTTTTTATAAGCATTTAAAGATCAAATTTTGACAAAATTTATCAAAATCTCGAAAATTATCAATCATTGAAATTAATAAATTATAAAATGTTCAGTTTTTATAGCTAAGGATTGCAAATTTAAAACAAAGGTTCTCATAAATAGTTCATACTGTAACCAAAAAATCTAAAAAATATATGAACACAGTTATTTTTTACAGACATTTTAAATTCAAATTTGGACGAAATTACATATTAAAAAACCTAGAATAACTATTTTAGTTATTTTGTTGTGATTGAATAATATTATTCGTGGGTACTTGAAACTTCTAAAGTGTACTATTATATATCTATGATAGTATCACGGTTTTTGTTGATGTATAACGCGTTATAAGTACCTAATGGACATTGTGATATGATTAATTTGGAATTTATTATAGGTACCTATTATAGGTCAATTTTTTGTTTAATGCCATAGATATGTATGTAATATGTCTTATACATAGACTGACATACCGACTCCGCTCAGAATCGTTTTTCTTATACAATGATATTATATCGTTGAATTCAAATTTAATATCATCCATTATACAGTGACCCACTTGTAACCTACTGTACAGCAGAGCGACACCCACTTGCCCACCTTTTTTTATAATATAACGATTACCATAACAACAATTTTAAACCAAAGGAAACCAATTATTGTTATTATTATAATAGCTTCAAAACCCATGGTAACCATGGCAACCACAAGGCACAGGCAGACGAACATTCCATCTCCTCCCGGGGTTGGTTTCCATGGTAATATGGACACACAGACAGCCAGACATACATTCATTTATATATATATAAATATCAGGTCATGAATCAAGATTTTTACAATACAACCAATGTAACCAATGGTTGATTCATAATCATCGAATGATCAGAACGGACCCCGAACCATGCAACTCATGTGATTAAATACCTACCCACTGTTAAACACATCATCTGCTTCCGCTGAGAAAACAGTGACATCAGTATTAACCTAAAATTAGCTGACTGTCTCCGTGGAGCACCAGGCCCTGAATCGGACAACATCGAAAAAATATTCAGTTTCCTAAAATTAACCAAATCATACAACTTAATTTAATTACCTTCACATGTTTTAAAAATGCACGATATAATAATACTGTTCCCTCTTGTCATCTTTCTGCACAAAATTTAAAACTGTATATTAAACACCATCTCTGTATAAACACATTGTTAAAATCAAAAGCCAATGCTATTGTGACTTCCAATAATACAAATAAAAACCTACACCTAAACTATTATAGATTGAACTAATTTTTGTATAAATTATAATATTATTATATAATATCATATATTATTGTTATTAACTTATAAATAAATATCGACAATCCACATAAATACATTACAGTAGAAAGGTGATTTAAAAAAAAAAAATTGTCATTTCAATAGTAAATAACAAAATACGAGGTGATGAAAAGTCCCTATCACTTACATCCCTTTTTAATAACAATAAAATAACAAAAAGCGGTAAGTGGATGTCGCACTGATGTACAGTAGGTTACAAGTGGGTCAATGTATAAAGGATTGTATTAAACTTGAATTCAATGATATAATATCATTGTACAAGAAAAATGATTCTGAGAGGAAAGGTTTGTCAGTCTAGATTTTTTATATTGTTATTATTTATTATAGCCTGTAAGTTGATTTGATATTAAAATATTATTATTTTTTATTCGTTGCTATTGTGATAAACAAAGCGTTAGAAATTTAAATCCCATTTTTAGTGGTTTTTTCTTAATTTGATTGTGATATTAAATAACTATTGAAAAATCGGTAAATGACCTCTTTAAAGTACCATATTGATCCAATTTGCTAAAAGATAAGGAAGTATATGTTGAAATCGAAGTACTCCTTCTGGTATAAATTGTGTATAGAGGATAAAAAAAAATAATAATAAAAATAAACACCATTTTAAAACCACTAGCTTCATAGCTCCGCTCAGAATCTAAAATGATTTCAGGAGAAATCGTTATTTTATGTTTCAAACTTTGAATATCAAATTTTGTCAACATTTCCTCTTTAAATGCTCATAAAAAATGAATGTGCCTTTCCACTAGTTTTGTTTTCTAGTAAGATCCACTTATAACTTATAAGGGATATTTTATTAAATTTCCAAGTATTAAATATTCAAAAAAAAAAAAAAAATGTTATGAATTTTAAACTACAAAATAATTCTTGATGTTGACGACTTTCATCAAAATTCTAACTTTAACGCTCATAAATAATTAACGTGGATTTAAGGGCCTCTTTTTCTTAAATTCCATTAAAAACAACTTAAAATCTCTTTGACTAGAAAACAAAAATGTCATCAACATTAACCAAACAATAGGAATAAAAACAGTCAACAATTTAAAAATGTTTGTAAGAAAATTATAATAATATGATAAATGATAATATATTAAATATCACAATACTATCACGTGATAAATAATATCGTATATAATATACCTACTACCAGAAGCCATCCTCAATATTGAACTATTATTTCTAACACACATATTATATTGTAGAACCAATAATAGGCACTAATATAGGCATACCTCATTCATTCCTCCGATTAAAAATCTAAAATGTTGGTGTCTATCAGACATCGGGCCGAAGGTATAAGTATTCTGTGCTCGATGCCTCGATATCATATTGTGCACGGGCCACGGAGACAAATAATCCAATGGATTGGCGACGGGATGGTGGCAGCGATAAATTATAACTTGAATGATAAAATAACACTCAAAGTTAACTGGAGAAAACAAAGTCACAGACCTCGTTAGTAAATTCTTCGATGGAAGAAAACAATAAAATTGGTGTCAAATAAATTATTTACTCTCTATATGATATTTGATTTGCATTGTAAAATAATGGCTTTTCGTGGACGATAAATACTGTCGAATATGATTCATGTCGGGGTGATATTTCATAGAAATCTTGACAATAGAAATGTGTCGTATTCGGAAAATTAATAAATCCGATAAAGTCATAATCGAACGTTTATTCGAAAGTTTGTTTTGGAAATGTACACTATGGCCACATGCTTGGCAATAATACCGAAACTGAGTTGGCGAGGCGTTATTATTGTTATTATTGCAACCATATAAACGATGTTTCGATTGTAAACGCCTTGTCTAGACGTTTGACTCGGCGATTAGATGCAGAGCTTTGGACTAAGTAATATAAGTATACTTAGAAACTATGGGTTACACTCGTTACAGTAATGTGGACAACAACTAATGTGCAAGACATAATCAGGTAGCAGTGGATTTACGAAATAATCATCGTTACACTAGTTCTAGACACTGAGTAAGATACTTAGAATTACAAATGGTTTCCGATTCTAGTACAACTGATCGAACTAAATATTAAAATAGGACATAAATCAGACATTTGAAACTTCCGTTCACAACTAAATCTAAAATTACCTATATATTATATTCAACAAAGTCCTAAAATTCATTGAGAACCTTACATGATATGAATAAAACATGAGGATGCAATTTTATTTTAGTGTTTGATCAAAAATAATATAACAATAAGCTGGTCGTGTACTGCAGCTTCAAGCAAAATTATATTAGTATATACGAGTAAATATATTGAATTATTAAGAATAAAAAATGCCTTACTGAATATTGAAATTCATTGACACATTTATTTTCGTTCTTCAAAATATGTAATGAAACAAGAATTACAGTATGACACGATGTTAAGTATACAATAAAAATATAGTCGTTGTAGCTGAAAGATAGACAACCAACACATAAATAGTATACCTAGGTGCAATGGCGTAGTGATATTGATATACACAATATATTATATAACTGATGTCAAAGAGATTAAGTTTAAATAATTGTATTATAATATTGAACATTGACCAAGAATACCGATAAAATACGTCAGACAATAATAATAATAATATAAGATGTACTCACTGTCCACTGACAACAATTGAAGGTGAATAATATATATTATTTTCTTTAATAGATTTATTGAGTGAAAGACCATTCAAACACACTGTTAAGAGTGCACTAAAATGTATAAAAAATAAACTTGGTAAGTGATAGGAAGAGTAAAATGCAATACATTACATTATTTATAATATGTATGGAAAATAGTCATACCTGCGAAATAATTTTATGTATTGTGAACAATTAATGTGTTTGAAGAAAATTATAATTTTTAGATAAATTAAAATTGAAATAAAATATTCCTTGGGATGGGTAGGTACCGAGAATATATTATTATATTATATTTAAAACCTTATAACCCTCGCACAGTTGGTTTCTCTATGTCGTTCCAGTTAGCAAATTGGACTTTTCTTCTACTATATTACCTTAGTTGCCCTGCACTTGTACCTTTGTATACATAATTAATAAACAAAGTTTGACACTTCAAACTAACTCAATTTCTAATTTGTTACGAAAACTGTATAATGTCTGCAGTTATATGTTTCCTTTATTAATATACATATTATATATTTATATTTATAACCTAGAACTCTACGTTCAACTCCATGCACATTGTGAACTTGAATTTTAGTAAAATCTACTCAAAATAAACCAATGAACGAATGCTGTTGAGATACCGAATCAGTGTTAATTAAGTTACCAACATAATGTAATTATTTCGAAGAATAAAAGTTAAAAAGTGGGTCAGTAGATGTTCCTCTGTTGTACAGTAGATTACAAGTGGGTCAATGTATAATGATTGTATTTAACTTGAATTCAAATTTTTTAGGTATATTGTTATTATTTATTATAACCCCATAAGAGATAAATTAGTACCTATTAAAATATTATTTTTTTTTTTTTATTTGTTTCTATGTTGATGAGCAAAGCGTTTGAAATTAAAATACTATTTTTAGCTGTTTTTTGTAATTTGTCGGTGGTTTTTTTTCGGGGCATTAAGTAACTATTAAAGAAAATCGAAAAATGACCTCCCTAAAGTACCATCTTGATCCAATTTTCTAAAAGATAAGGTACTATATGTTGAATTCAAAGCGTATCTACTTATGGTAGACATTTTGTATACCTACATGACAAAAAAAAAAAACACAATTTCAAAACCACTATTGGTTATTGGTAACATAGGTACGATCGGGGTGTTTAGGGGATGAGACCGAACTTCGTGAATGTCATTCCAGGTCAACGAAACTGCGGCAGAAACAAATTCGGCGTGCAACGTTGACCATGGACTTCCTGATGAACCTTTTCGACCTCTTCCACACCGATCTATGGCGATCAGACCGTGCAGGATTTTGTAGAGTTTCGTCAGCTTCTGCCACCGGCAGAACTGACTTAACTGCACCATACACGGGTGAACGAACGCTCAGCTCTACGGACGACTGAAAACTTGCTGAATGTTCTCACAGCGGTAGCCTGACAGCAGCGATCCTCCGATCGACGGCCAAGTCCAAAGCGTCGGTCAATGAAGGACCATAACGTCGCAGGGATCTTGGCGTTTCTACGTAGGCCTCTACCTCCGGAGTCATGTAAACTGCAGGTGCAGGGACCGGCGGTGAGGTGATCTTTACTACCTGCAGGTGGTACACGGGCGAGTCAATGGTCAGCTCGGGTGACGACCGGAAACTCGTTGCATGTCCTCGCTGAGACGGAGACCAGACATTCGCGATCTTGAGGTCAACGGCCAAGTCCAGCCAACCGATCAGAGAGCGAACTTCATTGGAACGATTAAACGACTGCCTACATTTTGTAGATCCCAAGTACCTGGCGTCCATCTCTGTCATATATACACGAAGACACGATAAATAGGAACAGGGAACAGAAAAAAAAATAGGTTTTTTTTTTAGAAAATATTTCTAGGACTCACGGACGAGCGATGAACAAATTATAATAACGGATTTTGAATTATAAATTGTTACCAACAATATATAAATAATAGTGATGTGATTTCTCTAGTTTGTATTGTGGCCAGCTATAACAAGGAAAAAAATTAACAGTTTCAAACATTTTTTTTTACCAACGAATAGTTTTAATATTATATCGGACACTTACATTAATTGTATTAATTGTCAAGCCCATTTTGGAAAGTCAAAATATGCTCCTTCTCTTTTGAAATCTATGTAACATAAACTAACACATAATTTACGAATTTAATTTTTTCAATCTATACAGGGTGTTCGCGCCGTTGCTCCTAGTCTCTACACCAGTGGTTTTCAGACTTATATTGAAGACGGCACATCGCGTGCTCTTCGAACTATTTTCAAGTCACACTGACCTTTTTTTTGCACCAAATAATGAGATGAACAATATTGTTTTGAATTATAATTATATACATTTAATTAGAAATGTGTGCTTGATGGTCGAACAAACTTTTATTAATTTTATTTTTATAATTTTATTCTTGGACGAATAGGTAGTTGACATTTTTCAGAAGACCGCGGCACACTTACGAATGCTCGATGTACCCAGTTTGAAAACCACTGCTCTACACACACATTATCATCAGGGAAGCCACCGACCGATAAGCACTATCACACACACACATCATATTTAGTACTGCCTTTATTTTTGAATTATCTAATTATTGTGTTATGAATTATATAATAATATATTAAGCGACCGGTGCGTTATCGGTTAGTGGGTACACTATAATATTCTATTTCATTCAAAGTGTATAATATTTCTTGTTAATCATTATTTTTTATTGTTTGTTCAGTTGTTCTGAAGAGCCGCAGAACCGCATATAATATAACAATACTATTTCGTCACGAATCGCTGTTTTATTATTTATTATTATTGTGGGCGCGATTCGCCATTCTATTATTACTATACGCCTTATTTTCGTGATTTTTACGTATTTTGTCAATATTTGAAATTTAAATGCTTATAAAAAAAATCATGAATATGGATTTTTAATTTTTTTCATGTGAATTTGAAACAATATACTAGGAGCCTTCCATTCAATTTTCAAGCTTTTTTAACCAGCAAATAACATTTTATTGATATTTATAAAAAAAAAACTAAAAAAAAAATGAAAACTGAAAATGTCCGTAAACAGCTCAAAATAAGTCAAAATATTTGGAAAATGTTATGGTGTATAGAAAATGCTAAAATAAGCATTCAGTCAAAATTATAAAGAAAACCATGTTGTGGAATTTGACAATAAATTGCCTACATATTAGATGCAAATAGTTAAGTGTTTCCCGTGTTGTTTATTGTCCTCAGTAATTTAATCTGCTGCAGGTATCCTCGATATAAATTATTTTTGTTTCATTGTAATTCACTATTGCCGTATTATACTCATTTTTCTTCCCCTTTGAAGCACAATAAAAGTTTTGTATTGGTGATAAATATATATAGTTCATTTTAAGATCAAAGTGCACACCAACACAGTTGGTGAACTAAGTTTTTTCAAGTATATAAGTCGCATAAAGTGTTCTTTTATCCACATATATCCAGTGGCTTTCTTTGTTTTGAATTGTACTCAAAACAACTGTAAGGCATTTAAGAGTAAATAATAATGTGTTTGTTTTTTTACTTTGCAATGTTTATTCACCATTTAAATGGTTTATGGTATTATATATAGTGAAACGACATTATTTATTTACAGCATAACCTATATGATATTTACCGACGTGGCACGTTGGGGACTATAATTTTCTTTTAATACAATTTGTAAGCACACTGTGACTATTGTGCAGAGTTCTTGTATACATTTGTTGTGTACAGTAGGTAGGTATACCTACCTACTTGTCCGTCGCGAATGCCTATTATAAATTATAATGCTGTCCTAGGGCTGAGGAGTAGGAATATAAATAATTATCTGGATAAGTTATCTACACACAAATTATTTATCTTTTATCTTATATAGACAAATTTCAGCTCTGTTATATATATCTTCATCTATATATACAATTCTAGACGGCCTTTCAACTAGAATACATGTTTGCATCTATTACACCTATCAAAAGGAGTAACGGCAGCATATTAGATGGGTATAAAATATTAAAATGGATTGATTTTGCATCATGCAAACCGACAAGAGTAACGTTGTTGTCTGTTTTCACCCTGTAATCATATAGGCACCTCAACCTTATTTTAAAATTCTATTTCTGACTTGATAGGACATTTTTCCATGCGATCATATATACGTATCGGTTGTCGGCGTCCAGTAGATGTATTCGAATGTTCCGCACGGCGCAATACTTCCAAGAAGCCGTACTAACTTTCTTATTATATTGTCTGTTACGTAGTCTGTCCGTTGTCGTGTAATCGTGTCTGTAAAACAAGTGAAAGTACGAACAAATCCGCTTAAGTGAAATAATATGCTCCATATTTACCATCCTTCGGTAGCTCAGTTGGTAGAGCGGTGGACTGTAGTGGTGTTAAATCATAGATATCCATAGGTCGCTGGTTCAAATCCGGCCCGAAGGAAATTTTTTTATATTTTAAAATTTAAAACATCCATAATACTTCACGATATTATATTAAATATATTATTTAAATTATTATATACATATACATATAATACACTTCACCGAATATGTATAAAAATATTTTTAAAAGTATATACTTGAATCTCATAGCAAATTATAGAAAACAAATATGGACGCCTCTAAAGTGATTAGCTGGTTGGATTATTTTTTAAACTCCCAATAACATGTTCCATATACAACTCAAGCGGTCGCTAAATTACTGGCAATTAAATATATAAATAAAAAATCTACAATCTTGTGACTAGCCCAGTACACTAATGAGTGTAAAAAATAAACTCAATCCTTGCGATATAATATAACACTAGTCAGTAGTCACTACAAATCCAATATAGACTTGAAGAAGCATAATAAAAACCTATAATAGAATTTTATTTTGGATAGGTACCTGCTGGCCACCTGTACACATTGGCATAGTTTGTAACGAAATTGCAGACAGACCAGCTAAATTACCCATCATTACATCTGAAACATGATTAATTGGCATCTCTCTATGCACCGGTATTAAACAAAACACTTGTCAACCTATGTAGGTATATTATGGAACAGTCAAACAACCAGGTCAGACCAAATAAAACAATCGGTCATAAAAATCCATGCACTTGCAATAGCATCTCAAATGAAAAAAAAATTTAATCAGGTATTTGTAGTACTAGAAATCCCATGGATTTTTTATGAAAAAAAGCTACCCCATTAAATGTCAATCGTACGAATCCACTCTAACAATAAAATATTTTGCATACATTTATCGAATACAGACTGCACTTCGAAGAACATGAAATAAGTCATATCATTGCTGAAATTTTATAGGTTCAGATTCGAAGAATGAAAGGAATACGTTTCAGTAATGTTCTTCGTTTAAATACCAATACTAGATAAATACTATAAATATTAATAAATTATTATTCATTAATATTATCATAAAATTATGAATTAATATAATTTTTAATTCATCACTATATTACTATTATGTCATATAAAAAACTAATCTTATTGTAAAATAATATAATATGTACCTAACTATATTTTGAATGTGTCATGTTTTTTTTAAATCCGTATACTTATACCAGAGTTTCCCAACCAGGGTGCAGCGAAAGTTTTTTAGCGTGCCGCGAAATTATTTGAAATATTTTTTTAGAAAAAACAATTTCATTAAAAATAAATACAATGTAATAATTTGTTTATAAATTTTAATATGTATATACTATGCACCTAAAACCTTACTACTTTTGATTATACTTATGCACTAATAAATATAACCGAAGTACTCTATAGTATAGACTATAGACTATAAAGCATAAGGTGCCTCCGGATTTTTAGAAAATGTCCAAGGGTGCCGCGAGTCAAAAAAGGTTGGGAACCTCTGACTTATACGAAATACGAATACGGCTATATACTTATAAATACCAATAGGTTAATATCCTAAATATAAACTTTTTTAATGCTATATACATCTTATGTAGTGCTTATGGCTGGTCACCGAAATCAAAATTTATTCGTGGTCAATAAAAAAAATGTTGGTAAGTGGATGTCACTCTGCTGTACAGTAGGTTACAAGTGGGTCACTGTATAATGGATGGTATTACATTTGAATTCAATTATATAATATAATTGTATACGTAAAAGGATTCTGAGCGGTGACGGTTTGTCAGTGTTTATATTTTATATTGTTATTAGGTACTTATTATTAATACTGTAGCCTTTAAGTTGAATTAATATTATACAATTACAAAAAAATAACTAAAATCGTTATTCTTGGTTATTTAATGTGTAATTTCCTCCAAATTTGAACATAAAATAACAGTACACAGACCCACAAAAAAAAATGTTTTAAAAAAACACATTGTAATACCAATACATTCATCGCTCCACTCAGAATCTAAAAAAAATTATATTATTATTTCTAATAATAAAAACGCTGCTTCTGAATTTAAAACAAATTGAAGAGGTATATCCCATGGTCTGAATAAATTTAGTGTCTAAACTGCTTATTGTTAATTTTAAGTGCACGAATGACAACATTTAACATTAAATCACAGAAAATATTTATAGATATCTACTGGTTACTACAGACTTAATTTGTTAGAAGGATTTCCAAAGATGGTATAATATTTTCAGGAAAATAATTTGTTGTTACTTGCTATAATACCAATAGTCTTAACACAAAATGTTAGTTACTAGTTACTTCTATACTAAGGTATATTTTCAATTTTGTACTGTAAGTTCTAAAACTTTGGTCGTGACTTTTATCCGAGTGACTATTCGTAGTTTATTTATTTACTTTTATGTAGCTGTTTGATATTAAGTGAAATATTTTATCGGGCATTTTAAACCACGTTCCCCACGTAAATATTAGTTACGCCTACGCTTGAAACCAGTAAGGCAGTAAGTCACCTTTAGCCACTAAACTATTTCGTAGTATTTAATAACAGAGTCTTGTTGAAATTCTAAAACATTGGGTCCAAGAACAATTTTTCAAACCTGGTTTTTCCTATATTCGTACTATATTATGATCTACCAATATTGATAAATTATAACCGTAGACTAATCAAGAAAATAAAACGAGTTCATTCATAATAATATATATTAAAAGTATTTTTTCTTTGTATAAACTATAAGTAATATCCTTAGAGTTCTTGGTTAATAATAATACATATTATATAATAACATTATCCAACTAATATTATTATCAACTGAAAATGATCAAATTAAATAAATACATTTTTTAATAATCACTTTAATAGTATTATGTTATATTTAACTTATGTCATGTCTACAAATTATTACATAATATTTTTTCCAGCTAAGAAAGCAGCAGTTGGAAATATCTTATTCTCGAACACAGGTTCCCAACATTGTGTTCTAGAATGCAGTATAATTTACAGATACAATATGTGATAAAAATAAGTTAAATCAGTGGTTTTAATTATGTCGCAGACATTTTAAATTGCTGTTGTGCCTAGTAATAATCTACGTTCTATAATTTGATATATTGTATTCATTACATTTGAAATGTAATATTATATTGTTACAACATAATTAAACAAGAAAATATGAAATTTATTTGTAAATGAATCATTTTAGGTTTCTGAGTGGAGCGATGAATGTATTGATTTTACACTTTTTTTGTGGGTGTTTGTCGTCATTTTTTGGGGCAGTAAAAACCAAAAATATACTTCAATTTTTTACTTCATAATTTCTTCTGGTAGGATTTTAATTTATTTGGTACTTTCAAAAGTAAAAAATCGTATTGGTTTTCATAAGCGTTGGGAAGAACTATAAAAAAATTAAGAAGCTTATTTTTCGGCAAAACCAATTTTTTACTTAATCGATTTAAATTTTTTATTTAACTCAAAAACTAATGACCGCAGTTAATAATAATAATCTCCGTACCTATTTATATATATTTGTTATAGACAAAGGGTTTACCGTTATACCTAACTAATACTTTTTCCTGTCTTGGGCGTTATTTATATTATGTTGGTACAAAAAATTGTCGTCTAAATTGTATTGTCTTGTTCACTAAAACTTCATACTCCAAGGGCCGAGGTGACAAGTCGTCAAAATATCCTCACAAAACCAGCAGATATAGTTACGGATATTGCAGCTATTTAGTATATAGTCGCATATTTTTTGGCCCAGGATTCTGACGATTTACCTAGTACTTTAGTACTTAGGTTAGGTAACTACTTACTTTTTATATGGATGTACTCTGTCCAGCGACTAGATAGAGAACAACGGCTATTCCGAGCATCCCCACGAGACGCCATGCCATCGACAACACGCTGTTCCATTATGGCAAAGTCTCGCCATACGGATGAGCAGAAAAACAGACTACCATCAGGCCTCAGGGTGTTGTCTCGCTGGATAGAGTATATACAGAGTGATTCACCAAGCATTTCACACCCAGTTTTTCTTTTAATAATTAATTTAGTCGAATTCTGATTTTTTTAATTTTTTAATACACTCAAATACCATATAAATGTTAACGTTTTTAGGCATATTTAAAAATTCCAAAAACCAGATTTTGCATGCATGTTGACCTTGCAAAATTGATGAAAAAAGGAGGATGGGAGTGCTTGGTGAATCACCCTGTATAATAATGCCGTCGGAAATCATAATAATAATTATGGTCAGCAGTTTCACAAGGCGACCATAATATTACATTAGCGGTGCAGGTTCCTCGAGCATTACGCCCTCGCGCGTTTGCATGCACTCGAAGTCGACGACGTGACGTCGAGTGGTCACCACAGCGTTTTTGTTTTCATTGTTGTTTTGATAAAAAAAATTTTTGACTTAACAAGGCGATGGATTATCACTTACCTACTGTTCTCCATAAGATACGCTATCCCCTACCCCAATACTGTGGAGAGATACGCCATCGTCACACCACCGCGACGTCATTCGCTCTACCGTTCGTTCTGGAACGTTGGCGATATAAATTTCCGTCGACTGGTCGAGTGACCATCAATTGTCTCGTACACGTCTCAGCACGCGGTCGGTTTAGAACGGAAGAAAACAAGTCGTACAAGATAGTGTCTCGTGAAACCGTATGCGATGTAGAACGACCGTTGTTCGTAAATTATTTTTTCCACAGTACACACGTTTTAATTCGCAACATGACAACTCAATGCGTGCACAAGACTGTGCTTTTACTTTAGGTAATTGTATTTTTTTTTTTTTTTTTAAATTCGTAATAACTATAACAGACAACTTATCGTACACACGGATAAAACGTCGAACATATCATCTCACAGTCGTCTACGCGTCGGCCATCGATACAACTTGTCCTGGTCGAATCATGCCACCTGCAGACATGTCGCTTACGGCGTTCCGAGTGGCTCTGGCCACGTTATTACTCACCAACGTCGCATATACGTCAAAAAAAGTAAGGTCATATACATAGATATTATCGTAATTTAACTGTTTGTTGAAAAACGAAAAATGCACTCAAATGTGAGACATACGTATAGAAGACGTAATATTACACCCATTTAAATCGTATATACATCTTTATTTGAGCTTATTTTATTTAGTTTACCAATAAATAATATTTCTAAACGTCACTACTAGTTTTGATGGAAATGTAATTTATTTATTAAATGATTACCTAGTTAATATAATGGGTCATATTACATTATTGCCAAAGCTTTTTATGTTTAATTAAACTCAAAAAGACCGATGGTTAAATTTATTCCTTTATTGAGTGTACAATTTTCCAACTGATGATACATTCATCAGTTTTATTTAAATTACAATTAAATCGTTGTTAAGTCATTAGACATTTAATATTCGAAATGGTTTTTTTTTTTCAGAGTAGTTACCTTATTTGTTTAATAAATTAATTGTCAAGTAGTAAATACCTACTACGAGAACCTGATAAGTTTGTTTTCTAGTTTTCAAATATAAAAATTACACAAATTTAATAGAATATCATAGAATAAATCAGTTATTAAATTTGTTGATTAATCTATATTTGAAATTATAATTTACATTTAATAAGGTATGATAATTTATTATAATGATAAAAACATACATTTCTTCTTAAATTATCATACTCTGGTAAAAGTCAGGTAGGTATTAATTAATACCTAGTTATACTATTAATATTTACCTATTTTATACGTGTCAAAAGTTTTTTTCTTACCTTGTTATTGTTTTAACACCAAATCTGGGCTTTGGTTTGATAATGGTATTAAATTATATAAGGAAAATGAGTTAAAGCATTTAAGAAAAAATGACGTCTCGTCAGGATGACGATTGTGGGTCCCACCGTTACTTTTCATCACAGCTAATTTCACTGTCACATTTTTCAAAATATATAATCACAATAATATGTAGTGCGATTACATGATAAAGACTAACGTAACGTCATAATACAATAGTAGAATATTATTCAATTTCTATTGAGTAGATAATATATATTGCCGTTTTAATATTACATATTATTATGTACCTAGGTAGGTACCAGTGTTAACAATATTTTTTTATCGTGTGCAATAGTTGTTTTTTATTTATCATCAGATCGCAAATATAATACATATTTTTCTTCAGTAGTACCTATAATTATCTATGTCAGTAAGTTTATTGAAATAAATTTATAATAATTCATAATGAATAAAAATGTAAGTTCAAATTTGTATATAGTGTAAACAAAAAATATAGGTAACTTTTTAAAATTAAAAAATAAATAATTAGACTTATAAAGATGAACGATGGCAGAGACGCTGAGAGGTGGTTTTGTTTTTTTAATTGTTCGTTGTCAAAAATACAATAAAACTCACTCACGTTCAATTGTTCATTTGTTCCCAATTATAATAATGAAGTACCAATGTAGTAATGTGCAATATAATATATTATAGGTAGTATACATGTATAATAACACTATAACATTTTTACGGTTCAAGTGAGAATCACAATACAATACATTTTGATGTTCAATTTAGAATTTTTTACCCTTTTATTTTTCCTCGTTTTTCCTTCATTGCAATATATTTTTTATAATTCACTCCCAATTATTCGTTATTTGTTTATACTGTTTCCTCTTAAGATACTTTTAGTCTTAGAATAAGAGTACATATTATAAATTTACTGATGTAATAACAAAACAATTTAGAACTTGGTCGACAAAACGTCATCGTATCTGTGCGAATAAAATTAGGTACGTACCTAACGATTGTCTAAGCTATCAAATATCAGGATACTAAACAAATTTAAAGAAACTTTACTTACTATACCTAACCATAAAATGAAAAACCAATTTCTGAATATCCATATACCTATCTAAAACGCATAATCGATTATATAACCATTAATAGACCTAATATGCAACCACATGTTCTGTCTTCGTCTTATATAAATTATAAACGTACATCATAGCAACATATTTGCATTCAGAAACAACAAATTTGTTTTAATTGAAAATATCTAAAACAAAAACATAATATATATTTATGTACATTGTACATTGTACACAGTACACATTTATTAGACACATATACATAAGTTTGACTATAAATAAAGCCAACAGGACAAATTTGGTCCTTTTTTGGTGGAGAACCGTTTGCTCAATACTATAAGTATACAATAAGTAACAAATAATATATACTCTATGAACCGACTTTGCTAGCCTATCGTTGTAGTACAAAATTGGCAATGCTGAGCTTAAATATTTTACTGTAATTCTGTATGTTTGACAGTTACAAAGCACTCAAGTGATCGGGTAGAATATCCTCCTAATTTTTTTTTCACCATCATACAACTCGCATGACCATGGGTAGCATTTCTTGGGCTACCTATATTTTTTGACAAATTATACACTTGTCACTTATATCGACTACTTATTATTAGTTGTAAGACGATATTAATATACAAAATTAACTTCTAATGAATCAAAATACTGTACAATTACACAATTTAAAAAATTTCAGTCAAATTTACTCCAAATGTTATTCAGATAATTGGTTTGTGGTTGGAACACAGTCAATTTAATAATTGAACTAATTTTTAGTAAATTTATGTACTTGATATACATACCTATCTACGTAAGATACCTACGATAGACTGACATGCATGCCTGTAACGAAAATGAATAATTAAGTAATTTATTCATATATATAGGCTACGACCCCCCCCCCCAAATTGTTGGTAGCATGACATAAATGGCATAGGATTTATTCATTAGTAACATACTTATTTTAGAGTTAAGATATAATTGTATTTATGGTAAATTACCTCAAACATTTTTATTTTAAATCTGAGTGGTTTTTTCCATAGCAAAAGCGTCAGCTGTTCCATGAAAATTTGTTGCCATACTTTGGAGGTAAAATACCTGAGTCTGCGTTCCAAGCAGACCGCTTGGCACTAAATATGTTGAACAAAGAAGGTATATCCGTGCCCGATGGTATTCTTTTTGAAGCCCGACCAAAAGAATCGTTTCATCAAAGTCCGCGGAACGATCCAGAACTATCCAACTCAATACTCAAAATGATCCACACGCCGGACGGCAGGTAAAATATAGAACATAAATACAACAGTACCAACACATTACATATTATTATTATTATTAAAAAACATGAAGTACCATGAAACCTATGTACATCAATATCATCTGCATCTGAATGTCTACCGAATACATCACATATTTTCCAAAAAACATATAATTCGTCAAAATGATGTATTAATATTTAAGCTTTATAAAATGGGTTTTAGAAATATTAAGAGCTTAGTACGACCGTCGACCAATCCTTTATTTCCAATTAAAATTTGGTCTGTGTAGCACTATTGTCTATTATATTCTAGTGGATTTCCGACACCCTGATACAAGACAAGAGTTTCTGAAAGCAGTGTCGTACCATTTTAAATTGTAATTTCCATACGAGTAATTATAAATATTTATTTATTTGTTTAGGTGAATATAATAATATTAAATACATAATATTTGTTTAATATAATTATTTTTAAAGTTAAATACCTATCTATCTATTTTGTGTATTAAAAACATATCGTTTCTAAAACAATTACCTAATGGTATCTTAAACACTAAGTCTTATAACATTTTTTCATTCAGTATTAGAAGACATTTAACTTTCCTCGACACCAAACAGTTAATAATTTTGATGTATAAACCCTGTGTACATTGTACATAGAAGATTTTTTAATTGTATAAATAATAAATACCTTATATTGTAGGCATCTACTAAAATAGTAATTTTTTTATGAATTCAGGACAGTCCTGAACCATAATCAGGTGTAGCGTTTCAAGCCAAGTTTTATGTCTTGAAATTAGGTATATTCCTTCGGAAGGAAAGTACGATGGTAATAATGAAGTGGAGACAACGTATAAGATCTCAATACCCACATATATGCAAAATTACCAGCTACCGAAGTTTAGGCCGGTATCAGAAACGTTTCAAATACCAGTCCGGCAGGTATTCGAAAGCGGATTGTCAATCGCCAACCTCAGGGGACAGCTAGGAATTCCCTTCAACACTATACCAAAGGTAAACCACCTGTAAAATAATGTTCAATTATTCTGTATGGTTTTTTTAAAATTATTACTTCCACCTTCCACCGAAGTACCTACCTCTCCTTATTCCATACATTTTTAATAAAGGTTTAATTTTTTCGATGTTTTCTTTCCAATAGGTCTCTTACTACAATTATCAGAAAATTATAAAAACTATAATCTTTAAGTTATACTCTTAAACTATTTGCGAATGTATACCTTTTTGTTTATTTTACACTCTGCACAGTCAAACGGGTTTATAAATATTTATAAAATACACGTCGCCAATCGCCATCTTAATTTAATATTTCAAAGGTTGTAGAAATATATAATGTAAATAAATAATAATATTATATTGAAAAAAATTTCTTATGATTAAATCAATTTTTTCCGAACTTCTATCAAAACTATAAAATTTACTAAAAATGTTTTGAATAATATTATTAATTTATGATATTTTGAAAACAAATTAAATTATATTTTTTCCATTTATTTGTTTTAGTTTGAAGCCCTCGATAAATTGTACACAATTTTAACTTATTATTTTATATGTTGTAATTAATATAATATTATTTATAGAAACTAGAAAGTATAATTATTATTTCATTCAAAAATGGTGACTTATGCGAAACGTATTGTTTACCTACTGTACCTACATATGAATTGTTTATACTATATAATTTTCTGTGAACAATATACCCATCTTGATTAACAAACATATATATATATATTATAATATAATACATAGTATATTATACTATATTTTTTTTGCTATCTTCATGTTTTTTTTTCCATGCACGCTCGACCCATTGTACGGATGGATGCATTACATTTGCCATGATTACCATTAGCATTATTAAACCATCGTTTTGTGATATTACACAATAGCATTTTAACGAGTTTCCCATTTCCAGTTTATTTAAATAATTAACAATTTAACAAGGATACTTTTATATTTTAATACTATACCTAATCTATTGTCAACAATTAAAATTATCTAAAATATAAATATCGAACTACAAACGTTTTAATTTTAATTCAACTCTAAGTTATGAACTAAATAAATATTATATTTTATCAAGATCTTTTACAGTACCTACGTCTAAATATCTAATATATATTTTATCATGTGTACTTTACTAATAATAATACAATAGATTAAATACGCCTAACTATTATTTAAAATGTTCTACAAAATAATAATTTGATATTGAATAAATATTAAATATTTAAACAAAACGATGAATAGCTTAATGGTATCAAAATTGTGAATATTAATACTAATTTAGAATAATATATTTAGGTACATTGTAAACGTAGTACGTAAAGTCAAGGGCATATCCAAGAGGCGGGGGCTTAATCCTCCCCCCCCCCAAATTATTGGCCACTAACATCTTGGTAATTTTACTGTTAATTGTATTAGATATAATAAAATAATAATAATTACTAGGTTAAAATAATGATATAAAAAAAATATCATAGTGCCCCCGCTTATACAGCATATCTGCATATGTATGCTCTATTATATAAAAAAAAGTGTTGTATACCTTACAAATATTTTAATTTACATATATTAAACTTCAAGATACAAAGATACAAAGGGATGACCTTCGGGTCTCGGGGTGAAGCCCCCGATGGGTTCAGCGTGGGCCATCTGGGGATCTTGACCATCAGGTGGGTTGGTGTGCGTCGCTCGCTGCGGGGTTTGTCGTGGGCTAGCAGGTGGGTTTTGTAATCTTCATATAATATAATAAATACCATTATACTACTTAGTACTTAAAATATAAAACTAATGTAATTATATTAGGTAATAGGTACCCACGTTTTTTTTTATTTTGTACAATATTGAATAAACTATGTATTGAGATAGATCATAAAAATAAAAATAGCCTAATCCAAATAATATTTGGTTTCACGAGTATTATTTGAAATAATAAAATATATAAATATGCCATGCATAACAATAATACTAACAAATAATTAAGTTAAAATGGACTATTATGTAATACACACACACACAAATATAAAATGTTATAATTATTATTTGATGAAGGAGTCAATACTCAATATTTCCAATATCAAGTGTCAAATTAGACTGTGGAGTACTAAATAGTAAATAGGTATACTGTATAGGTGTGCAAACAATTGTATTTTTGTTAATAAAATGGATCAACAAATATTTTCACTTCAATCAACAATCGACACAAGCGTGACAAACTCATAACCTGCAGTCTTTGATGTGTCGTTTTTAAACCGTCTGTGTAATAGAAAACAATAACAAACGCAACACATAGCTTGTCATTTTCCAAAAGAGTTTGGCTAACGGTTTATAAATTATAAGCCTAGCTGTACCGTTCGATTTGTTTTTCAAGTGCTATGTGTGCCAATACGTATCGTAAATCGTTGCCGTAGTATGGTTTTCTTTTTCCTGTGGACAAAATAAAATAAAATAGTTCATATAATACATACATTTATATATATAAATAATAAATGCTATTTGCAAAGTTGGGGTGGGAGGAATAAGAAAAACAACACAATGACAATACAACAACTACGGTTACCCAGTATTAATCATTTATCAATCACCCGCAAAGTCCTACACCGGAAAATTGAATAGGTAGTCGAGAAAATAACGATCTGTTCCAAATATATTTTATTTCCATCTTTTCACCATTGCGGTTCTGAGAACTCCTCGGTATTTCTTTATGTAACAAGGCCGATGGTATCTATAATGGGCATCATCGCCGCTTTCGACCAAAAACGTACCCTTCCCTTTTCGATCAAATTTGAAAAAGTTCAAATCCCTTTTCGACCAAAACCGACAGTATATAATATAATGGGCATCATTGCCGTTTTCGACCAAAAGCGTATCCTTCCCTTTTCGGCCAAAACAAAAAGTTCAATAATCATTAATATTATATACACCTATTTTAGATCTTTATGTTATGGTACTTATAGAAAATTATAAAATATTTATTATAAATAAGTTGTATAAAAAAATATATAAATACCTAAATAATATAATTATTGTTATTATATCTTATTTATGGATCTTACAAATTGTATGCAACTTATACTTTCAAAATTTTCAAAATTATATTTGCAATAATTTTACAATTAATATTATATATTATTTTATTTATCTATACATATAAAATCCAAGTACCACTTAGTCACTGATCTTTGAACAAAAACTACTCAACGTACGAACTTGAAATTTGGAATAGAGGTTCTTCTCATATTTTCTCCGTGCAATAAGAAAGGATTTGCAGAAATTCGCATTTTAAATAGGTGCTCAAACAGGGACATTGAGGTTCATGGTGGAAATTGGAAATTTTATTTTTATTTATTAATAGTTGCCATTGGTTACAGTTAACAGAAGAAAATCGGGTTTTAGTAAGGTTAGGTTAGGATAGGATTTCGTATAAATTGATTATATTAATCTACCGTAGGTGGAATTAGGTAAAAACGACAAACTCGGTATAACTTTGATACTTTAGAGTTAAATTATAAAGTTACATACAAATAGCACGGGGTCCGCGATCTACCGCAGGTAGATTGCCTACCTGATTATATACTGCTGCAAATCAGTATTTTAATTCTGGGAAACGGAAAAGTTAAGATAAATTTTGAATACCAAACACCGAATATTAAATAACCAATTGAACAAAGGTTGAGTCATATAGAGTTGATACATTTAACGGGCAACGAAGTGCACAGGATCAGCTAGTTGTACATATTATTATTATTATTATTATATTAATTAAAGACAATTGACAAAATTATATTATGACAACACAATATTAATTATTGACAACAATTGCATATTATTATAATTATTATTATTTATTTATATATTTTTTCAAACAACTTAGGTATAATATATATTTAATAATTGTCTATAAGTATAACATAAAGACCTACAGTACTTATATCATTTCAATTATTGCTGAACTTTTTGTTTTGGCCGAAAAGGGAAGGGTACGATTTTAATCGAAAAGGGAATCGATCTTTTTCAAATTTGGTCGAAACGACGAAAAGGGAAGGGTACGTTTTTTGTTGAAAACGGTCTCGCTCTCTATAATAAACTAATATCAAATCACTTCAATCATTCTCAGAGATATCTCGGGTTTAGTAGAGAAGTATAATAGAATATACGAACGTTCCATAAATGAATTGAATAAAATGTATTTGTATTGTAACGAAACTGGTGGTTAAGAAAAAAAAAACGTGTAAATTATCAAATTGTATAGACTTACTAACTTAAATTAATTAATTTTTTTTTTAAATTATCAAACTGCAGTCTGATAGTATGAATAAATCACGTACCTATCAATTGATTGTACTATCTATAATAACAATTGTAAAATATTCACATACCAATTACTGAATTAATGAAGAGTATTGCATTGAAAAAATGTACTATGATAAAAAGTACTAAAATATGTTACTACACATGATACAACTCACTATTCAAATTTAATATGAGTTAGGTTAGGTGTGCAGCACATTAGCACTTTAGTTGGATACCTATGGAGTCTTATAAGACGTATTGATTGTTTATGCATTTAAAAAATGGTTATCGTATTACAAAGTAAAATATAAATTAAATTAATAAATGTTAATAATATACCCCTAAATCTACTACATTTTCTCCGTCCGCTGAAGGAGAAATTGCAGTTATTTTCTAAAAACTATAATGTCATAGTTAACAGTCTTTGAAAATAAAAAACTGAAAAAGTGTTACA